ACAGTTGGGTGGTGCCTAAATTGAGTAAATAAATAATCCTGTTGTTTTTTAAAAATCAACTCAATGGAATGTTGGGAAGAAACTATATAAAGTGATGCAGGACTCTGTTCAGTTTCATTACCAAGGTAATTGTTTGCAAACTGAATCATGTTTTCCAACATTGAAAAGCCAGTAAAATAAGTAATTTTTATTTTTGCAGATGGTCAGAATTCACACCATTATCAACTTCTTCATTGTAAGCACCTTTACTTCCCCATTATGTTGTCCAAAGCAGAGCTACTTTTAAAGAATTGCAAAGAATTCCATGCTACATGGTTTTCTTAGCTTTTATTCCTTCCAACAGGAAGGAGGGAGGGAGGGAAAGCCCTCAATACATCCTAATGGCAAGGCAGCCAAGTAGCAGCATGAAATATTACTGATACCCCTACTCTAAAACCTGTGCCATGATGGAGCAACCCTGTGCTACCCTATGTATACAAGCAGGGCCGGATTTAGATGAAAAGAGGCCCTAGGCTATTCCACTTATGAAGCCCTTTCACCTATAGTGAAAGTGTAATTTTAATTTTGCTAACAATTTGAATGTAGGCCCCTCTTGATCTTGAGGCCCCCTCTTGATCTTGAGGCCCTAGGCTGAAGCCTAGTTAGCCTATAGGAAAATCCGGCCCTGTATACAAGAGGTAAAATGTACAGATGCACCAAGGGAGAGCAGAAATATACTGCAATTTGCTGAAATGAGGAATGGAAGTTTGCAAAATATTGTCAGAATATCTGTATACATTTGGATCAGATAAATAGGTAGCAACTTCTCCTTTGCATCAAGAGGAGGTTAAAAAAAGAATCAGAAGAAACAAAGAGGACCTGCATGTACTGAAAGTTGAAGAACTACAAGCAGGCCTGACAAACAGGTGGCCCGCGGGCTGGAAATGTTATGCCCAGGCCATGCCCACCCCGGCTCCACAAAGGCAAAAAGTGTTGTGATATGTCACAATACGTGCGATCGAGTTTGACATCTGTGACATACCCAGTTTTTAAGATGCTGTAACCTAAGCATGTTCCTTTAAATCAATTTAAAGAATGCAACCCTTGGAAACCAGTTTTCTTAACTGAAAGCAACTGTCATGGGACTAACTCTTAAAAAGAGCCTTGGTGGCTCAGCAGACTAAAGTGTTATTAAGTAGCACCAGCTGCCTGCAATTACTGCAAGTTCAAATCTCACCAGGCTCAAGGTTGACTCAGCCTTCCATCCTTCCAAGGTAGGTAAACTGAGGACCCAGATTGTGGGGGCAATAAGCTGACTTTGTATAAAAAAGAACACCATTTAGGGGGGGGCCGAAAGCCCTACTAAGCAGGTATATACAAAAGTATGAAGGCTATTGCTTAACGCATTGTAAGCCTCCCTGAGTCTCCGGAGAAAGGTGGCATATAAATCGAACCAATAAATAAATAAATAAATAAATAAATAAATAAATAAATAAATAAATAATAAATAAATAAATAAATAAATAAATAAATAAATAAATAAATAAATAAATAAATAAATAAATAAATGAATGAATGAATGAATGAATGAATGAATGAATGAATGAATGAATAAATAAATAAATAAATAAATAAATAAATAAATAAATAAACAAACAAACAAACTTACACAGAGAAAATACATGTCTTCCCTTCTCAGTAAGTCAAATACAAATACATGAAGCAAATACACAAGAATCTGCCCTGATCACAGCTCAGAAGCACACACATATACAGGCAATAATAATGCATATAACCTGGGCAGGAAAATCACTACACAGAAGAAAACATGGAACCTCTTATGATTACTGGTAGTATGGGAATTGGAAACAATGCACAAAGCTATGCTTGTATATTCAGTTCAAACATAAGAACTCAAGAATTGTTTGTTAAGAAGCTATACATTCATCTCCTAATCCTTTGTTGCCCTCTTTGCATTCTTAGGTTCCTACATTTTTACAGATGCATTCAGATTACAACTATTTATTGATCAATCAAATGTATATGGCTGTCCATCTTATGGAAAGTGACTCTGGTATACATATAAAAATCCAATAAAACAGTATTATATAAAATAATCATCTAAAATCATTAAATATGATTCAAAAACTCAGGAGTAAGGAGGCTAACTTCATCTCTAGTGGAGGAAAAGATTCCACAATGTAGCAAAAAAGGACGATTTTGTATGTACAGTAACATTAGAATACAATATAGCATTACATGCCTAGGTTTTTGGCATACATATAGTAAACTATCCCATCCCCAACTACAGTTTACACTAGGCCAGGGGTCAGCAACCTGCGGCTCTGGAGCAGCATGTGGCTCTTTCACCCCCTGCTGCGGCTGTCACTCAAAATACGTGTCATAACTGCCAATGTGCAACACCTGCCATCACGCGAGTTTATTGAGCTTTTCAACCCCCGATAGGCCAACAATGGATAAATCCAAGGGAAAAAAAGTTTCAGAAGAAAACAGAACATTTAATTCAACTACATATGCTAGTTTTCTGGCCGCTCAAGAAATAGTCAGGCACAGGAATGGTTTTGTGGCTCCCGGTGTTTTCTTTTCTGTGGGAAACTGGTCCAAATGGCTCTTTCAGTGTTTAAGGTGCAGACCCCTTCACTAGGCATAAAACTGCAAGAATAGATATTATCGGATTAGAAGCAGAATACTGTGTGTTTAGGTATTCTTCTCAGCTTCTGACTAGATTCAAATTCCGTAAAAAGTTCAAGAATTCAGCATTTCTATAAAACTTTAAAGGACATATTTAGCATGAGATAAAATGTTTGTCCTTTTCATATTGCTTTTTCTGCTTGTTTTATACGTTATCCATTATATAATTATAATTCAGGTTCAAATGCATTTCTTCATAGAAACAGACTTTGCAGCAGGTCGTATCATTATAGCAATAATACTTACCTACATAAAGGGGTTTTTTTGGTTTTGGGCTGACTCACACATCTTCTTTGAAATCTTTTCTTTTTAAACAAAGTGAAAGGCTACTTTTCCCTACTGTTTTTTCTACAAATGTTGCAATGTTGGGGATTTTAGCCAGAGTTATTACTGCAGTAAGAAAAATGTTTTAAAGATTTTAGGTAAAACAGGTGAAAGAGATAAAAATGCATTGTTATCACTGTTGGGCCAAGAAAGGATTCTAAGAAAAAAGGAGTTTGGCACAAAGGATTATAGAACCAATTAAAGTAGAACTATAGAAGCTTAAGTAAATACATACAAAGCAGCTCAGAAAAATTAAGTAAAAGATAATAGTAGTGGGGAAAATGTATGTTGCCCTATTTATGCATAGCAAATTTAAATCCCACTGTATTCAACATAATTGTTCTAAATGTATTAATATGCATAAAATTGCAGTCAAACAGAATCTTAATTAGCTAGATTCAAATTCTGCTTACTGTATTCAGAAATAAATCACTGGTTTTACAGTTGTATGGTTTTACATCTATAATTTCCGCTTCACAACTGCAATTTCTGAGACATGCTTTATAGGCCTTTGCTTCTATGGCTGCATATAAAATACTACAATGTCCAGCAAATCTACAAAGTACAGGAACAGGCCATACAACCTGAATTTATTGAGATAAAATCACTCCAAAATTGGGTTTGTCCAACACATTATGCCCAAACTATACAAACCACATAATGGCTTAACATGCTGTGTAAACCAGAGCATAAGTTCCAGCCAACACCAGCCTGAATTCTTAATTCTTTACTGCTTTTTTTTCCATCTTGCCTTCCCCTTCCTGCATGGAGGGGACTTCATATTTCTTCAAGCTAGCAGGCATCATTTTTCTAAATCTAAATAAAACCTTGGCTCATTAGGATACCATGAAGATAATCTGTAACAGTTTAGTAACTATAACAAGTCATCCCAAGTTTTTTCACACATTTATCTAAGAAACTCTGGTCTTCCTTGATTACTGGGCATGCTTGCAAGAGTTGATATAGTGAAAAGGATGGAAAACATTTCAAATTAAGAGCAGAATGAGTTAACTTGAAATATCATTTAACTATAAATAACACTGAATGGTTGTAGCCTACTACTTTCTAAGCCCAGCCTACCTCTCAAGGTTACAATAAAAATAAAATATGTAAAACTATAGATGTTACGTATGGCTTCTTTGAAGAAAGATGGATTATAACTGCAGTCTCATTACATAAATAATTGTTCATTTTTCCCAATACGTTCTTTATTACAAAAGACCATTCTTTGCAATATTTCAGAAAGTTGTTCTTTGGATTTATTTTCCTTTTGAATTTTCCTTTGCAAAGCAAAGTTATAACATTTTTTTTCTCCTTATCTCAGATTTGCCCCATTTTAGATTTGCCCTCTATTTTTTTCCAAGAAAACATGGTCACTGTACTATCAACAAAACCTTAATAAACAAAACCTTAACAAACCTTAATAAACTTATGTACACTGAGAGAATATACACCAAAGACAAATTCCTTGTGTGTCCAATCGCACTTGGCCAATAAAGAATCTATTCTATTCTATTCTATTCTATTCTATTCTATTCTATTCTATTCTATTCTATTCTATTCTATTCTATTCTATTCTATTCTACTCTAATTTCTACTCTACTCTACATTCTATTCTACTCTACTCTCATTTCTATTCTATTCTACTCTAATTTCTATTCTATTCTATTCTGTCATTGAGCTACACAGGACATACTAACACTGATGATGTTACCTAGTTTGGGTAATGAAACGTCTGCAAGAAAACCAGCAAGCTCCGAGAGCACCAAGGACCCTTCATTTCAACCCTGAGCTACACAATATTCTTCTTTATTGGTAGAAGAGGAGATGTTATCAGCTCAAGGGCCCACGTTTCTTTTCATGGGGATGCTTCGCAGGGGTCGTTGCCTCCCACCCCTAAACGACTTTTTATGCTCCGGCATCACGGGAGTCTCTTCCCCGCCAGAGATCTCCTTCCCCAGCGCGCACAGCCCACTTCCACTCACCATGGTCCAGCCACCTCCGCCTTCCCGACCGCGATCGCCACTTCACCGTTGAAGCGCTCGCAAAGCAGGAGAAAAAAAAAAACTAGCGACCAGCGACACACGATATCCAACCCAAGCCGCTTCTTAGCAACCGAGGCCACGCCTTCTCTTGTTCTGCGGCTTAAACGTCCGGTTTAAAAAAAAAAAAAAACACCACCAAGCCGCCTTGAATTCCTATTGGTTGGGAGTAGTATCATTCACTCTCGTGACGGCAGTCCTGTATTAGAGTAAAAGGGCCTGGAGTTTTTTCACTGGAAAAAAAGAGACCGGAAATTCCCGCGGGCCTGCGCAAAGATGAAGGTGGCTAAGGGCACGTCATGATTACTTTTCTGTACAAGAACGTAGAGATAGAAATGTAGAAGTCACAGCGTTCATGAACTTTCAAGTCAACATTGGTGCTTTTTTTTTTTTTAGTTCCGCCGCAGACGCCAACCGCTAATAGACTTTATTATAGATTGTAAGGAGACTTGTGGCTAAACCAGGGGTCTCCAACCTTGGCCACTTTAAGACTTGTGGACTTCAACTCCCAGAATTCCTCAGCCACCCAAGCTGTATCTGGTAATGATTTCATATAGCTAACAAAGAGTCGTATGATTTTTCTAGTCTGAAACTTTTGCTGGTGTTTTGATTGGTTAGTCTCTCAACTAAGGCTTGGGGGGAAAAAAGTTGAAATTAAGGTCAGAAGTTGCACGATTTGGGCGAATCTACTATTATACCTCTAGAGACGGAAGGGAGTCGATCGGAAGTTACTCCTTCCCAAAAGGAGAAAGAAAGAACCAGCGATGAGAAGCAGCTGGGAGGAGTGGAGGAGGAAATCCCACAGCTGGTTAGTTTTTCACTTTAGACGAATTTACACAGCAATTCACTGTTCTGTAAAACGAACACTGTTTTACAGAACACCGTTTTACAGTGTTTATTGTTTTACAGAACAGTGTTTTAGTCATTACAGTGTTTACTGTTTTACAGAACCGTGTTTTACTCTTTTTACAGAACACCGTTTTACAGTGTTTACTGTTTTACAGAACCGTGTTTTACTCTTTTTACAGAACATCATTTTACAGTGTTTACTGTTTTACAGAACAGTGTTTTACTCTTTTTACAGAACACTGTTTTACAGTGTTTACTGTTTTACAGAACAGTGTTTTAGTCTTTTTACAGAACACTGTTTTACGGTGTTTACTGTTTTACAGAACAGTGTTTTAGTCTTTTTACAGAACACTGTTTTACAGTGTTTACTGTTTTACAGAACAGTGTTTTAGTCTTTTTACAGAACACTGTTTTACGGTGTTTACTGTTTTACAGAACCGTGTTTTACTCTTTTTACAGAACACCGTTTTACAGTGTTTACTGTTTTACAGAACCGTGTTTTACTCTTTTTACAGAACATCATTTTACAGTGTTTACTGTTTTACAGAACAGTGTTTTACTCTTTTTACAGAACACTGTTTTACAGTGTTTACTGTTTTACAGAACAGTGTTTTAGTCTTTTTACAGAACACTGTTTTACGGTGTTTACTGTTTTACAGAACAGTGTTTTAGTCTTTTTACAGAACACTGTTTTACAGTGTTTACTGTTTTACAGAACAGTGTTTTAGTCTTTTTACAGAACACTGTTTTACGGTGTTTACTGTTTTACAGAACAGTGTTTTACTCTTTTTACAGAACACTGTTTTACGGTGTTTACTGTTTTACAGAACAGTGTTTTAGTCTTTTTACAGAACACTGTTTACAGTGTTTACTGTTTTACAGAACAGTGTTCTGTAAAACGACCTCACCTAGTCGTCCAAATAACGATTGGGTTGGCGTGGGGTGGGGGGAATGGAGCCGTCGGAGGAATTGCCTGAAGCGAGTTATTCAGCTGTATTGAGGTAGTCCTCAAATTATGTCAAATCCTGGACATAAATTGTTTCAACTCCTATCCTCAAAACGATGCTATAGGATACTGCACACCACAACAACTAGACACAAAGATAGTTTTTCCCGAATGCCATCACTCTACTTAACAATTAATTCCCACAACACTGTTAAATAATTTACTAAGACTAGTTTACTATTCTTCTTCTCTTCCTTACTAGTATCTATCTCTTCCCACTTATTGCTATAACCATGTTGCTTGTATCTTTCAATTTATATTGTTGTTACTTGTTTCCTAGTACGATTTGATAGCTTATTAGTAACCTTGACTATCACTAAGTGTTGTATGTTTTTATTCTTGACGAATGGATTTATTCTCCTTATGTACACTGAGAGCATATACACCTGAGACAAATTCCTTGTGTGTCCAATCACACTTGGCCAATAAAAGAATTCTGTTCTATTCTATTCACTGTTCTGTACAACAACCTTATCTAGTCATCCAAATAACGATCGGGCTGGCATGTGGTGGGGGAATGAAGCCACGAGTTATTCAGCTGTACAGGTAGTCCTCAAATAAGAATGACAGTTGAGTCCAAAATTTATGTTGCTGAGTGAGAAATTTGTTAAGTCAGTTTGGCCCCATTTTACAACTTTTCTTGCCACATTTGTTAAGCGAATCATTACCAGTTGTTAAATTAGTAACTCGGTTGTCCCAAAGATGCTTTTTTCAACAGGTAACTGGACTTTCTGGTTTTTTTCTTTGAAGACGTTTCGCTTCTCATCCAAGAAGCTTCTTCAATGAGAAGTGAAATGTCTTTAAAGAAAAAAACAAGAAAGTCCAGTTGCTTCCTGAAAAAACACCTTTGGGACAACCATGATCTGGATGACTGAGAATCTCCATAGATATTTAGTAACTCGGTTGTTTTAAGTGAATCTGGCTTCCCCATTGACTTTGCTTGTCAGAAGTTCACCAAAGGCAATCACATGACCCCAGGACATTGCAACCGTCATAAATATGAATCAGCTGCCAAGTATCTGAATTCAGTTCGCATGACCGTGGGGATGCTACAACGGTCGTAAATGTGAAAAATGGTCATAAGTTTCTTTTCTCTGTGCTGTTGTAACTTTGAACAGTCACTGAGTGAATTGTTGTAAATTGAGGACTACCTATATTTCTGTAAATCATTGTTAGGGAGAAGTGAGATGTGTTGACATCAGACCCGGATACAATGTAACCAGCCAGGCAGGAGACACGTCAGCGTTGATTTGATGTGAAGTTGAAGGGCTCATTAAATTAAATAGGAGAACAGACTTGGGAAGAAAGGTTTTCCGGTAGTTAATGAAAATCAAATGTCTGCCACAACTGGGTTTATTGATTTATTTGTATGGTTTGTGAGTGTTGTGTGCTGCCAAATGTCATGGCAGTTTACAGCAAAAAACATCCCATGAAGTTGTATGGGAAGTTTGTTTTTTTTACTTGCCCATGATAAGATATAAGAACAATTACTCCACCATAGAAACTGCAAAAGAAAGGGGAAAATAACTACCGATCAAACTACCTGCCCAAAACATCTGAAAGAATTCCGTTTCAGCCAACAGCATCTTCAGAGAGGCCAGTCTAGCTTTTAGGGGAATCATCTCTCAGCCTCAGTGCTATAATATATTGGAGAGCATATTGGAGAGTGAAAATATGATTTTTCTATAGCTCAGGGTTGTAGAGTGGTATTCTTGATATTACTGTCTGAACTTGGTTGTTTGCTTGCAGATGTTTCAGTACCCAACTAGGTAACGTCATCAATGTAGAAGTGAATGTGAATTTTGCAGTCTATATGTGGTAGCTTTAGGCAACTACCAAGGCAAGCTACGGGTAGATGTGGCTCATGTCCACTTGTTCAGCAGTCATTCAGTTACCGAGGCACTGGAAAAAATGGACTTAAACAACCAGTCTTCCAAGTTCCAGCTATCCTGATATCCCTGTGATCATGTGATTGTGATCCAGGTGCTCAGGGGCCTGGCTCATGATTACAACATTGCCATCTGTGACTTTCTCTGGCACCTTCACACAAGCAAATTTAATGGGGTAGCCAGTAGGGAAGGTTGGAAATTGTCCCAGTAACATCACCCCCTGTCTGCTTGCACTCCATTGCATGCACCAGTGTACAGTACCCCCTGCCCTCCTCTGGCTTCCACTACCCCATCTGAGGCCTAATGCCAAAATGACAACTCCTAGGCAGCTCCTGGGAGTTCCATAGCTACAAAGAGCTATGAAAAAAATTAAACCTTTTTTACCCTTCAGAAGTTGTCTGAATTAGTGTAGCCAAACCTAGTACCCTAATTTGGATTTATGCAAACTAGTTTACAATCCAAAATACTAGGGTTCCCACATACTGAACCAAATTTCACATGTCATAGGACAAATCAATGTGTAGGGTAAGCTGTTTCAATAAGTCAGAAAGATAGTTTTGCCTCTTGATTTGTGTGGTGTATACTGTATTTTTTATTTCTGTCTTCTTGGTGCACATACTTGTTCCATGATGGTGTGGAATTTGTTAAGTATTAATGATGGTTTAAAATACAGACCAGAAATAATGTTCATGCCTCAGTTTTTTAGAGGGGAAGCCTTGTTTGAACCTGTTACAGCTGAGCAAAGAGATTTGCTGCCTGATGTGTCCATATCCAAATCTCACTAGCATCTTTCTGTTTCCAGTTTGTAAAGTAAATAACACTTGATTTTCTATCTATTCACAAATCCCCAAAACTGCTATCTGCAGTAATCATTTCATTTTGCCTTATGCTTGAGATAGGTCTTAAAATTGTATGAGTGATTGATTTTATTCTGAGGGTCAAGATATCTTAAACATATCTTGGTTATTCAGGGACCAAGTTCCAATATTGCCTACATGAGAAAAGAAAAGTGCTCGTAGTCAACTTCCTTTCAAAATCATAGACATTTTTTTCAGCATTTGCTGAAATGAAATAGTACCTCTTTTTGTCTTTCAGAGTTTTAATGTATTAGCTGTTTTTTTTAGACTAAGATCAGCAGCTTTTAAAAAAAAATGATAAAGCATCATGAAAATATTTTTGCAATACTTTAAATAATGATCAACCATCCCAAATAGGATGCATATCCATCCAGGCACTTCCAAATACATGGGGGCTTGAACATTTTCTACTATTTTTGTGAGAAACTGCATTTTGAAATTGAATTAGTTTGTTACAATATGTTCTGTACTAATGGTTCTATATTCTGTTTAACGGAACTGATAGCCATAACACTTTTGTCGTTTGTTTGTTTCTTTTAGGCTTTAACCGTTTTTTCTTGTATGCAATCCTGTCAATAAAATGGCAGCTCTAAATAATGCAGAAAATAGTAAGTATTCATCTTTCTTAGGAATTAAATATTGATTTTGGAGATATATTCTGCAGATATTTACAAATCAAAGGTTTTTAATACATGTCGAATTTTAAAAATAGATAAGAGCTTTCATGGAAGAAACTGAATACCAGTTATTTAGCAAACCAGAAACTCTTCCAGTACTTTTTCATAGTACTACAAAAAGCTCTGGGTTTATCCAAGAAGCTTCTTCAGCTCAGAGCTGAAGAAGCTTCTTGGAAGAGAAGAGAAGTGAAATGTCTTCAAAGAAAAACCAGAAAGTCCAGTTGCCTCTTGAAAAAGCACCTTTGGGACAACCATGACCTAGATGACTGAGAATCTCCATCAACATTTAAATTAGTATTACATCTAAATCTGTAGTTAGCTTTCTTTTACGGGTAAGCCTCAGTTACGGCCATTCATTCAGCAACCATTCAAATTTACAAACGTACTCACCGAGAGGGGTTTATGAGTGGTCCTTGGTAACGTCATAAATTGTGATCATGTGACTGTAGCTCGCTGGAAGACATAATCGCGAGTCAGGCACCAAATGCCCAGATTGTGATCACATAGTCACTGTTATGACTGGAACTCCAAGGACATTACCTGCTGGCTTCCCATAAGCAAAATCAGTGGGTCCCACAGCATCTCCCCATGACCTGCTTGCCTGGGATACCAACCTCTTCCCACTTAATGACCTGTGTGATCCTAGAGTGAGGACAGCCCAACTGCTAGGATTACTTTCACGAAGCAATATGGTCTCATGTTTTGCTTTATCACTTAGCAATGGAAATTCCAGGTACTATTGTAACCCAAAGACTACCTTAGCTTAAGTTCCTTAATATGCCTAGAAGAGTTTCAAATGAAATGTGAGACTGAGACTTCCAAAGTTATGTAGTGAGGGGTTTTTTGACACAGTGCTGTCAAACATTCCATGCTATGGGAAATGGCAAGCTTTGGATGTAATCTAATATGGGTAGTCCTTGATTTAGGACCAGAATTTGGACCAGAATCTCAGTTGTTGAGTTAAGCAGTTGTTAAGCATGACTGCTTCATTCAACGAATGCCATCCCAGCACTTCCAGTTAGGATTGTTAAGTGGCCTCCCAGAGTATCAAAGGAACAGAGCAAAAGAGCTGCCTGCCAAGTTCAGTTCCCCTCCGTGCATAGAAAGCAATTGTTCCAGAGATCCGCGGAATGGAGCTGGGATCTTTGTGATCTGTTTCTATAGCACTTTAGAGAAGTTCCACTCTCCATGCGTGGAAGAGAACTCTTTTGAAGGGCTGCAACAGCATATCTTGGTTATTCCAAGTTCCACTGGAGTAGTTGTCTATGTGAGAAAAGAATTGCATTCTTAGTCAGCTTTTTGATTCAAAATCGCAAACATTTTCTTTTCAGCCTTTGCATCTCTAACGTCAGAGCAGACCAGAACTGTAGCGTTGATGTGTAGAAAAATAACAGATGCATAGCAAAAATAAAAGAATATTTTCAGAACAGAGCTCAGTTTCTGCAGTCCACTGGAGGAGTTCCCTTCCCCTTGGCAGACAGCTTTCTCACTCTTAAAGAGCTACCTGCTGGGGAGGGAATCTCAACTGTGTGGCAGGCAGTACCAAGTTGCAACCTTCTCTGCCACCATATTGCAAATGGTGAGCACATGATTGTGGGACATATGGAAACTGTTCATAAATGTGAACAGGCTCCCAAACACCCAGATTATGATCATATGACTGGGGGAGCAGTGCAACATTTTATGATGACCAGAAGTGCTTTACAGGCTATAGAGTACCCTTTCCAAGGCCGTCATAACTACAGTTGTTAAACAACCAGTGGTAAGTCAAGAACTATCTGTAATTTTTTTCTGCCATTCAGTCATGTCCGATTATCTGAGACTGCAAGTTGCTTCAGTTTTCTTGGCAAGATTTTTCAGAAGTGTCATTGCCATCTTCTTAGGCTTGACAGAAAGTGACTAGTCCAAGATCACTTAGCTGGTATTGTGCCTAATGTGGGACTAGAATTCATGGTCTCCCAGTTTCTAGCCTAATGCCTTAATCCACTACACCAAACTGGCTTTCCTAATAGTATTAGATTATATTAATCGTGTTTTTCTGATTTAAACATATTGTATGCTATTTTCTGCCTCAACCTGAAGGTGAATACATTACCTCACCCATTCGTGGACCTGGTGATGGCATGGAACAAGAGCAGCCTTCAAAATCTGTTGAAGTAATCTCCAACACAACCAGCCATGCCCATCGAAGCCCACACAAGAAACTACTTCCATCCTTGAGTCCTGGAGTCCTTCAGCTGGGAAAAATTTATGGTGACAAGGCTGTGGAAATTGAAGCTGTACGAATAGTGGTTCCTAAAGCTTCGATAAACCATGTGGTGCCTGTTAAAAATGGTAAAGGATCTAAATCCTCAGGTCCTCAAAAAGAGCCCCTCAGTCTGTCCGATGGGATTTCATCAGATACTAAGAAAGAACTGCTGGAGCTAAGAAGTGAAATAGGGAAGCTTAAAAATTCGGAAAAGAGACTCTTACAGGATAAGGAAGGCCTTTCCAATCAACTCCATGTGCAAACAGAGGTAGGAAAATAGACTTGATTGAATTACTTTTAAAGACTACTTTATACCATTTGTTTGGAAGAAATAACTGCGGTGTATAGAAATAATTATTCAGGGATAACAATGGAGCTTCAAGCCCATATAATAGTTTATACTCAGGGGTTTTTTTTCCCCCATAGTTTTGGTTATTCTCTATTCATTTTCATTCAGAATTAAATTAAAATTGCACTCAGTGATTATTTCCTAATAAGGCCTTTAAGGATTATAGTCTGCATCATTGGAGGATTCTGAGCAATGACTATAAAAGTATTCAGTATAAAATAGCCCAGAGTCTCCCTATAAAGGAGAAGGGCAGTCTCTAAATATGTATATAGACCATAATTGTATAAATAAACAGAACTATACTCTCCACCTGAAAATTGATAAAGTATGTAGCTGCTGCTGTGTTTGATTATACCATTATTCCATAAGGCTGTAAACTCCCTATCCCTTGGAAAAAGCCAACATTACAATTTGGAGTTTTGGAGGAGCTTCTTGAAAGCTACTATAGGATAAAAAGTTACTGGTCTTAGATTACGAAAGCTAAGAGCACATAAACTTATTTTCAGCTGTTTATAAAATCCTGTCTTTTTCTTTTTCCTTCTTAAAACATAAGTAAATGTGGTGTTTATGCAGCCACTCTACAGTAATACAAACAGTAACAAGCTTTGTTTGAGGTCCATCATATTTTGAAATGCATAGCAATCAACTTTTAATATATGCTGTAATTAACTACTACACCTATCTAGCAACACAAAACAATCCGGTTCTATGCATGTTGAACTCATTCCCCTATCTTAGGTCAATCGGGAGTTGAAAAAGTTACTTGTTGCTTCTGTTGGAAATGACTTGCAATATCATTTTGAGCGTATGGCCCGTGAAAAAAATCAACTGATTCTTGAAAATGAAGCCCTTGGGCGGAATGTGTCTCAGCTGTCTGAGCAGTTAGAGCGGATGTCTATACAATGTGATGTTTGGCGAAGCAAATTCCTAGCAAGCAGGTACTGTTAATAATGCTGCCTTTTAAAGGATGTCTTAATAAATAAATGTACATCTACCTAAGCAACCATAGACACATAAGTACCATTTCTCTATCAGAGTTGTTGTTGATTGAGGATACCAAGCTTTAAGGTTTAACAGACATGATTGGTCTGGGGTCATGCTTCCCTTAAAGATCAGGTTTCCAGCTTGCAACTGCTTTTAACCTAAGATACACATCAGTAGCAGGTTAAACTTTCATCAGCCTTGGCGGATAAACCAGTTGGGTATTCCTGGAGGAGAGAGAACTGGCATTGGTAATATATGGTTTGGTAACCCTGAGGCTGGATTACTACTACACATTGCTATTTATGGAGTGCCTCTTGAAAACAATGACAATTGGTCCAGACTGAGCCAACATGATTGATGCTTCTAGGAGGTGTCACAACACGCCTTTCGTAAAGCAGCTATGCAAACTTGAGTAATTTTCTGATTCCAATTCAAGGTGCTCACTCTGATATACAAAACTGGGTAGATCTTGGAGCCAAATTACTCTTAAATATCCATGTTCTAATATTTTTAACGGGGCATCTCTGCAGCTTACTCCACTAATAGGCTTTAGAGCAGCTAATTCATGGCGACTGTAAAGTGATACTTTGCCTGAGGCTTAAAATATTTCATTTCCTTAAACCTCTTATAGTTTGTAATAATGTTTAATAAACACTTTAATAAAGTGTTAATTTTGATCATTATGAATATTTGTATGCCAACTAAAACATACCAAATGAAAATTTCATAGTATATGCTTTTTAAAAAACCTTTATAAATCTACTTAGCTTTTAGAAACTTGTCTGACAAATATTATCTATTCACTTAATTGATACTTTATACATTCCTAAATTATTGCAAAAGAAAGGGCACTTGATATTAATATGATTGGGAATTGTGAAAGCTATTATGGTGTAATTGATACCATGTCTGAAGTGGTCTAAAGTAAGAATTCAAATCTCAATTTAGCAAACAAGCTCACTCCATGGTCCTAGAATGCCATCCTTCAGCATAATATATTTTACAGGTTTATTTCCATTGTAATATTATAATAGTACTCCTGGGGAAAACTGAGATGACATTCATAAGAAAGTTGTACCTCATATCACATTTATTTGTTCAAGATGTATTATCCCTTTATTCCAAATTATGTACATAATCTGTTTAGGTTGCAGCATGAAAACGCAACCATTGAATTAACTGCTAATGTATAATAGGAACACAATGTTAATTAGTTGAATCAACTTTAACTAGGTTATATCTGAAATTTGTTCTACAGAGTCATGTCTGATGAGTTGACTAACTCCAGAGCAGTTCTCCAGCGTCAGGCCAGAGATGCACACAGCGCAATTCAGGATCTGTTAAATGAGCGTGATCAGTTTCGCCAAGAAATGATTGCTGCAAAAAAGTATGAATATATGTATTTTTTAAATCTCTGAAAGACATTGCTTTAAATCCCAGTTTGCCATTTTATGTAGATGCTCTGGATTATTGATATTTAGAAATAATAGAGTCTTATACCTTATGTTTATTGTTGCATAAGTCTTAATTATACTCTCCTTCATTCAAAGATTTACTTATAATTCCATAGACTAAACTAAAATTTTATATAATCAAATTTCTATGAGTAAAACACAGGCAAATATTATAAGTGTCTAAAACACTTTGAATAGTGAAAACAGTAATATGCAATTAGAAAATACTTGAATCAGAATGATCATATATATGTAAAGCTGTTCTCGGTTGACAATCCATGATTCATTGAGTCATTGTTCCAGACGTGTCATCATTTTCAGTTGTGTCATTGTTTCAATTGTGTCATTGTTTCAGTTGTGTCATTATTTTTGGGAGGAAGAATGATTTCCAATTTCCTTCTGTCTTTCCCACTAACTTTGTTTTTGGGAAGCTTGCAGAGAGAAAGTCAGTGGGGAGCATTGCAAAGTGCTCAGGCAAGTCTCCCCCACCTGTGCACCCTCCCACAGACCATTTGTGCTCATGCCATGCCAGCAACCTGCACACCTCTGTCCCCCCTCACACACACACACCATGACTTGCTGCGCCTCCCAACCATTGCCACTTTTCTTACCTGCCTGCCTCGCTGATTTTGCTTGTGGGAAGCTGACAGGAAACATTGGAAATGACAGTCATGTGACTATGATTGGTAGAACAGGTCAGTGGTGTGGCAGTGCAGCGGCATTGAAACAGTCACAACTTTTCCAAATTTCAATACCACTAGAATAATGGGTTCTGGATTTTGTAATTTAGGCCATTTGAATTACCTTAATTCAAACGCTGTTGTGTTATGATGCATCGTTTTGCCCAATTGAAGGTACAAATAGAAAAACAAACACAAAGAGTTTTAGTAGTGTATATCGGTGGGTGCATATTGTTTGTACATGTGCATTATATAGAGAGAATGACAGACGTATGCAGAAAGAATTGAAAGCAGTGTCATTGCCCTAAAATATATTTACTAGAATAGACGATACAGTACACAGCAAAACCCATTCTCTGTGACAACAAAGCTCTATCATCCCTAGTTATTAGGTGCTTGCATAGCTTAAATTTTTGTTCTATAGTCTGTTTATCTTACATTTTGTTCTCAGAATTATCCACAAATAAGAAACTTCATTCTAACAAAATTTGAAAATGGATAATAGGTCTGGGTGAAATTTCTGTCCCATATGCCTGATGTGGGCTGCAGGGCTACAGATGCAAGAGGAAATCTTTTTCCCCCCAATGATTTTTACCTCTTTTGAAAGTAATCCACAGTTGGTCTGTAGTTTTTTGCCCTTCCTGTTGGGGTCTCCCCTGTTATACAAGGACCATAATTCAACTTTACACTAATTTTCCCATTCAAAATCTTAACCAGAAGCTACATAGTCTGTTTCTTTGCAACAGTAGCAAAACTATAGATAGCAATTTTTGCTCTTGGATTTAATAACCTTTTTTTTTAATCCCGCTTCCTCCTCGACTGTTTATCCTGTTGTTTCTGTAGTCCACCAGATTTTCTCATGGTCTAAAACATTTGTAATTGAAACTGATTTATTTCCATTGCAGATTATTAGAGGAGCTCCTGGTTTCTCTACAGTGGGGAAGGCAGCAGACGTACTACCCTAGTGCACATCCTCATAGTACAGTGGAATTAGCTGCTGTAAATCATAAGCTTGCTAGAGCAGTAACTTCACATCTACTTGGAAACTCTAGTATTGCTAACAGTCCAAAAAATGGCTCTTCATCCACAGAACTCTGCACTACCCCTGCTGAGAAAATGGCTGAAATGGTAAAAACTATTTTACATAATAACATGCTATTCTGGCTCCCTAGGTGGCTCAGTGGCTAAAACGGTGAGCTTGTCAATCAGAAAGGTTGGCGGTTCGAATTCCCTAGTATAGCAGGGGAAAGTTGGACTAGATGACCTCCAAGGTCCCTTCCAACTCTGTTACTGTTACTGTTGTGCATTAAAAATTTTCAAGTTTACTTTCTAGAAACATGAAGCAGTACCTTCTTATTGCATAACAAAAAATGCTATGATTTAATAAGCCTCCGCATTCTACTATATAGTATTAGTATTCTACTGTACTGCATGGCAGTATAGTTTTCTACTGTTCCTTTGCCAGACAAGGTACAAACTCTCTGTCATGGCCCACTTCTACAGTAGATTACTGATCGAAAGACCTGAGTAAGTTTTGTCCTGAACGTAATCTAAACTATGTAGTTTAAATTGCAGTAGCTTAGGGTAATAGAAAACCTGAACTGAGAATTATTGTTCGACTTGTGCTGGGCAGACAAGTTTGCATTCCTACTTGTTGTCCAGATACAACTTTGTGCCTTTTATGTCAGATGCAATCATTTCCAAATTAATTGTATATGAATTATAATAATCTTTGCATCTCCTGCATTATTGTTCAGTTAATACAGATCAACCTTGAAGAATTTGTGCAAAGTTCAATTGGTGTAAATTGTGGCAGCTAGGTGATACCGATAGATAATATGTTGTGTTCTGGTCACAATTCAAGTTGCTGGTTTTAATGTTTAAGATAATAAACAGCTTTAAGAAGCAAACTCTTTATTCTGTAGAGAATAAAATAACCTTATAGAGATGCCACTCTATCTCTAAAAAGTAAGCTATAAATTACAAGTGAGGCCTTTCTTTTGCATGGGAATTGAACTTTCTAACTTTAAAAAGTGAGATACCCCTTTATCTAGAATATTTCAGATTGTTTTAAATACGTTTTAAATATTTTTACCAAAAGAAACCACAGTGATTCATTGCTGTTACTTTTTTCCAGGTATTAAGAATGCTGGATTCTGGCAAATGTACAGAAGTATCAGAACTTTCTTTTTCTGAGCCTTCAACAGCATCTTTTCTTTCCCCAAAGAAAAATATTGGACGGTTTCATCCCTACACTAGATATGAGAACATAACTTTCAACTGTTGCAATCACTGCAAGGGAGAATTACTTGTTCTTTAAAAAAATCTTTTTGGTAGCAATGGTTTCGGATTCCGATAAAGCATACGATCTTTGTGCACTTTTATTTTCTGTACTTTTATCTAATGAGGATTGGATTTTGTGCTGGAATTATGTCTTTCATAAAGCTTTCAGGACTTTAATGTTCTGCTGTCAAATTCTTCTTTGTGGCAGATTGAATTTGTAACGCACTGTCAATTGTTCAATGCCAACCAAGAATGTATTAGAAAAATGTTCCAAACTGTACAAAGAATTATAGAATTTGCGTACCGATGTTTCTTCTTTAAGGGAACACTTGAGAATATTAGAAGTATCCCATGAACCTCAAATATTTACTTCCTTGAAAAGATGCAGCTTATTTCTATATGTGAACTATTTTATTTTAGAATTAGGGTGGGTGTTTAAGTATTTTCTACAGTTAATTTCCAGTATTAGAGAACTGTTACATGAGCAGGTTAAACTGCATATTTCAATGAAAGCTGAAAATGCTTCTTTAGGTATAAACTGTACTTTAAAGATCTTAAATGATGGAGCTGATTTGGTGAGATTAAATCTAATGCACAACATTTATGTCAAAGAGTAGAAACAGCATTTATGTGAAAACTACTGGAGATGTGCCTCTGAGTTCACCTTTTCTACAGAATGGGGTGTTTTTTTTTAACAAAGTTGGAATGAATATCCCTGAGGAATTATGTGAAAAGGTTTTAATGGTGCTATTAAATGCGGTTGGACTACTCTTCTTGTATCTCTTTTCTCTAATTCGTAAATAGGCAAAAATATACTGTCATCACTTTAAAAAAAAATTCCTTTGTAAATCTCTGTTTCTTGACATTGGGGGTGGGGTTGGTGGTATAATTTGCAATTTTTCAATAACGCACTAAATACCCTGGATTATTTACAATGGGACTTTCAGATAATGCTGACATAGTATTATTCAGCCATTTTTTTGTTTGATACAGTTTGGTGGTGTAGCATTTCTAACCAAATGCTGGGTGTGAAAATGGTAAGTCAGGAGATAAACTAATTCTTTTAAAAAAAATACACCATACTTACAGGAGGAGTATTTATTTTATTTAAGTTTTATAGAACTGAGAAGGCAATCCCGATCTATTCACAAATAGATAATTATTCCACGTTTAAGATGGGGCAAAATTACTAAGATGGAGAAAATTAAGCCATTATTGAAGGACTTCAAAACATTCCAGAAGAGAAACCACTTCCAACAGGCAATCTCAAGCTATGCAAGATATTCTGGAACACACTAGGCATCCAGGGCTTCTAAATCTCAGCAGTATTGATCTGTAAAGCGAAGGGACTTTGGTTCAGAAATTGAATGCAGAATATTTTCTATTTGCTTTGCTCTTCTGGCTTCTTGTCTAAACTGTTTTGATCGTTCTCTAGCAACTAGTTGCTCTTCTCGCCTCTCACGTCTCTTCCTCCTTAGCCATCTAGAGAGAAATGAAATCATGTTTAAAATTGAATATTAACTGACTTCATTTTTGCTGTTTATGTAGTTCCTATCCCTAAAAAGATATATTCTGGGATAGAATCATAAATAACTATCTTATTAGATAATTACCTGTGATTTGGGCTATAGTTCATAATATTGAGACCAATAAGTATTTTGAATTTTTTGATGACAATGTATATTATTCATTAATATAATATATTATCATGCTCTAGCTTACAAAGAAATATAAGCACAAGTATTTTGGTAAAAAATTAAATGTTGAATCTGAAACTATTTTCATCAAGTAATAACCAGCTTTCATTTCTATTGTTACAGGCCATGATCTAAGGTTATTTGGAATTGAATCAAACTGCTCACTTAATTACTACCTTCAGTTTAAAGCTGAATAATTTGATAATGTATTTGAACATTTAGTATTGTAAGACAAAAAGAAAAAAATGACAAATCTAGAGTTACATAACATCATAATCGTATACATGGTTTCTAAACTGATCCAAGTTTTCAAACTGCAGTATTATTTCATGTTATGTGGATGTATTTACAGGAGAAAACGAGAGAAAACAACAGGAACCAAAGTTCATCTGCTTCCTGGAATAAAAACATCCAGATTTTATTACAATAACATTACATTGGTTCCTAAAATAAAAAACAAAAATACTTACTGTTTATAAGCTTTGTCGTTTTCAGCTGTTCTTGGAAGGAAGAACATGCCCTCTTCTTGCTCCTTCAGGGTTTGCATCTGTTTTTCTTTAATCTGTTCCTGCTGCTTTCTTTTAAGCCACAACTTGAAAGCTTCTTCTGGATTTCTATTCTCCTATTTAAAAATTAAAAATATATGTATATTTAAAATTCAGAAAATGTATACTGATTCTTAGAGTCATGAAAATAATTTGATAGCTGTATGTCCTAAACTGAAGGTACGAGACATTAATCTATTAAAATCAAAAGAGAAGATATTTATGATCTGGTTATGATTTGTAGATGTATACCTGCCTTTCAGAATAATATCAGAAAAGTGGAAAAGGGAAGAGATTACATCATAAATACAACCTTAAAATAATTCACATTAACAATTGCATTTTAATCATTATTCCATATTTAGTAAGAGTGATACACTGGATACAAAACCAGTCATCCGCATGTGTTCAGAGGCATCTTAATTCTTGTAATTAGTATTTTTATTTTATTATTTTTATGAATAATGGGTGCCAGTTTGGTCTCATGGTTAAGAGACCAGGCTAGAAAGCGGGACTCTGAGTTCTAGTTCCACCTTAGCCATGAATGCTGGCTGGGTGACCTTGGGCCTGTCACTTTCTCAGCCCAACTTACCTCAAAGAGTTGTTGAAGGGAACAAAGGTAGGAGGAAGAAATGTTGCATATGTTAGTGGCCTTGAAATATTTCTAAAAATAATAAAGGTAGGATACAAATAAATAACTGAAGGTGAAGTACATACATAACATTCTCTGATATTTTCCTCACAACAACAACTCTGCAAAGTGGGTTTTGCTAAGAGAGAGAATGAATGGCCCAGGGTCACCCAGCTAGTTTTGATGCCTAAAGTGGGACTAGAACTCAGCAACTCCCACTTTCTAGCCTGATGCCTTAACCACTAGACCAAACTGGCTCTGGTTTTAATTCTTGGGTTGTACAACTTGTGTTTTAGTTCACTGCCTTGCTGCATGATTCATTTCTCTTGAGCTTCAGTTCATATCACAATTTCCTATAGAATTTGCTGGTACAACTCAGAATTCATAGTTCTATCAAATGTCCTGGTCCAAAGGCAGCAAAGCAGGCCCAATCATGATACTGTTATCAACATGTTTCACAGATTGGATAAGCCCTAACATGGTCTTTCATAAACTCTGGACAGGCAGCAATGTTCTTTTTGGAAAGTAGTGGCTTTCTCCTTGCAACTCTGCCATGTAAAGTATTGTTCAGTGTTCTGATTATGGCCTCCTGGACAGTGACATTTGAACAGTGACATCAATGCAAGTGAGGCTTTTATTTTCTTAGCTATTACCGCAGGTTCTTTGAGACCTCCTGGACACTCCTTGTTCTTGGTGTGATCATGACTGGTCAACTATTCCTGGGGATTGTAACAATAGTGTTGATTGACTCCATCTGTACACAATCTGCCTAGAAGTGGATTGTTGGAGTCCAAACTCTTTGGAAATAGTTTTGTAACCTTTTCCAGTTTGGTGGGTATCACCAACTGTTTTTGGGAAGTCACCTTTGATCAAGCCATGACATATTTCCACATACCTATGTTGTGAAGGTCAGACTTTGATAGTGAATACCCACCATTCTGTTAATAAGACAGGACCTTCCACATTAATACTTGATTATCATCCCACTGATTGAAACACCCGGCTCTAATTTTCCTTTCAAGTGAATCCTAAAGGTTTGTATTGTGCAGCCACACAAACAGTTATCTAGCTTTTGATTTATTTTCTTCAAGAAATCAATAAACAAGTATGTTTTTGACTCATTCATTTAATTAGGTTTAGGTTTTATTTGATTTATATACCGCCCTACTCCCGAAGGACTCAGGGCGGTGAACAGCCACAAGATAAAACACATAAATACAAAATTTAAAAACAAAATAAAACCGAATTAAACAATTTGGCCCAAGACAGATTTAAAACACCCCAATAATTAAGAACAGATTAAAATTTACATTTTAAAAGGGAAAAAGGGAAAGTTAGGCCAGGCCAGCCTGATGGAATAAAAAGGTCTTGAAAGCGCGGCAGAAGGTGCACAGATCCGGGATCCTCCATATCTCCGGGGGGAGCTCATTCCAGATAGTAGGTGCCCCCACAGAGAAGGCTCTCCCCCTGGGGGCCGCCAGTCGACATTGTTTGGCTGACGGCACCCGGAGGAGCCCCTCTCTGAGAGCGTACCAGCCGGTGGGAGGCTACTGGTGGCAGCAGGCGGTCCCGTAAATAACCAGGTCCTAAGCCATGGAGCGCTCTAAAGGTGGTAACCAAAACCTTGAAGCGCACATGGAAGACCACCGGGAGCCAGTGCAGCTCGCGCAGGAGAGGTGTTATTAGATTCTCTTCATCTAGTTTCAGGACTTGTGTGGAGAACAGATCTCATATTAGGTCTAATTTGTCAGGCCCAAACCTAAAGAGACACAGTAACATCCAATTTAGTCCAATCCCTTATCTGCTTACACTCAACCATTAGAATCTTGTCTAACTAAAGCTATAATCTTCTAATTTACTAGATACCGTATTTTTCGGAGTATAAGACACACCTTTTGCCCCCCTAAAAGGGAGTGAAAATTTGGGTGTGTCTTATACACCGAATGTAGCCCCACCCACCCGCTAGCCCCCACCCTTTGGCCTCTGCCTCACAGCAAGCAGCAAGAAGAAACAGCCCATTTCAGCTTCAGCACAGTCTAATTAGCACAAGTTGATTTGTCTGTTGGATCGGCCTCCCAACTCTCAGCTGTTTCAGGCTGCAGGGATTGCCATTGCCTATTGCTGCACGGGTCTCTGCTGCTTGCTGCGAGGTAAATTGCTGGAAGCAGATTTTTTTTTCTTGAGCTAATCAAGCTATGCTGAAAATGAATATAAAAGTAAAGCAGGCTGTTTGCTGTTTGCTGCAACGAGGCAAAATCGCTGAAAGGCGGAGGCAGAGGCAGATTTCTTTTTCTTGTTTTCCTCATCAAAAAAGGTAGGTGCATCTTATAGTCCGGAGCGTCTTATACTCCGAAAAATACGATACATCTTGAGAGATTGTATTGTAGGCTATAACCACCCTGAACCTTTCTTTTTTGATCCATCTGGGGACTGCACAGTCTCTTAATCTGGGCCTCTCTCTGATAAGATTTACTGCCTCCTTCTTAGGATAGCTCTGTGTTGCTATAACTCTTACCCACTGATTGTCCATGTGCACATTCCATCACATATTTATGCAAAAATATTGAAAATTCAGAATGGTTCATAAACTTAAATACTTTACAGAACTCAATTTACATAGCATAATTTTATTTTCAAAATATTAGAATAAAGCATTTTATTTATTTACAAAATTAACATTCCATTCTTTTTATAACAAAGTGGCACTCTAGACATTTTCCGGAGCAAGGAATAAGCAAGGAATATGCATCTACAAATTGAAATTTTGCCACTGTTTAGGATATATTTGAGGTTGGGGAGATATCCATACAAACAACACATTGCAACAACAAAAAATTCAGTTCTGTTTAATACCATGCCAATTTGGCTTCTAAATAGGTGATCATTATATTATCTGTAAGAAAATAATCCTAGATTTGTCCTTGATATACAAATAGTTGTATCTGGAAATAAAAGGCTGAATTCTATCCATCCTCATCGAGAAAACTTGCTTTAAACTTTTAAAATTGAACCAACCCACAGAAGAATAATGGAAACTTCAGCTTACCCTGCTGTTTAAGTTCTCTATTTCTTTTGCACGCTGAACTCTTTTCTCCTGCAGCATTTGGTCTTTTTTCTTTTGTAGCCAAGCCTGGAAGACTCGGTCATTTTCTTTCTTTTTTTCATCTTCCAGCATCTTTTTTTGGTTTTCTTCCTTGCATTAAAACATTAACAAATAATGACAATTTTAGAAAAAAACCCATTCAAAATACAAAGAATTATGAACTTCCAGAATGCAAATTGTAAAAGAAGTTAATTAAGTAGTTTTCCATCACAGAGCTTCATATTTTGGTTTTATACAGAATAGGCAAAACGGATGTGATTTTCAGCTGTTCTTTTACAAGATATCCCCCATCTCAAGGTCCTCTGAAAGCTTGGGAGACACTGAAAATAAAGGAAAACTGGCCCAAAGATTGTAAGCAGGAGCAGAAACTGCCCAAAATCACGTGATCTCTCATTCTGAGATTCTCTACAGGATCAGAAGACAAAGAAATTGAAATTAGAGGTAATCAAAAATTTTGTTTTTATCCAAAGATACTATAATAATGGAAAACACTGTAAAATTTCAAAATTAATAAAATTCTCAATTGCAGTGAAGCCTCATGTTACTTGATTTGGCTTCCCTCCTCCCTCGAACCATTTCTGCTTTTAGAACTGCAACACAGTCCATATGTGGCACCGAGGGAGTCATCTTGTTGCAGCTGCCACTGTATAAGACCTGCTGCCACTGGCCACCGTGAGAGGGTGACCGGGTCATTGCCTTCTGGGACAGCTGCCTGAGACTCCTCTCCAGTGTCGTGGGAGGACAGTGGAGTCCGGTTTGACCCCCGGCCGAAATGGTGGACTCTCTCCCCTGGACTTTTCTTTAAACCAGTTGCCCCCAGAGATAAGGAGAATCCAAGACCTTAGTGCCTTCCGCTGTGCTCTTAAAACCCACTTTTTCCAGCAAGCCGGGCTGGCTTAAGAAGAAATTTTAAATGTTTTAATTGATTTGTATTTTTAATTTTGGGCCAAATTTATATATATTTTAATTGTTTTTTAATATTTGTATTTTATGTTTTTTAATTCTGGCTGCACACCGCCCTGAGTCCTCAGGGAGAAGGGCGGTATATAAATTTAAAATTAAAAAAAAAAAATGTGTTCACAGAATACCCTGAATCACAAACCAAACGTTAGTGTATGTGGCTTTATGACTCAAGTTTATGTTGTTAATTTATGGTTCGGTATATTGTGCAAGCCCAGGAAATTGAGGTACACTAAGTCAACTACCATTGCATAACAAAAACAAAGCCAGCAAGGTAAACTGACTTCTGGTCACAGCCTTAAAAAGGAATAGTATTAGAAATGTTTTAAAAGATGAAACAGAACATACTAAGTTTAAGATATGGACCAGCAGGATTTATTTTAAAGTTTATTCTCAAGTCACCCCTGTTAGAAGTTTTTAAAAAGGAGTTTTCAAACACAAATGACTGCATAAAAGAAGACGACACCTAAACAGCCCCCATATATAAAACTGTACTCTTAACATTATTTGCAAGAGGAACAAATATGAAGGGTATTCTTTGCTTCCATATCCTAATTGTAGATTTGTAAAAGTAATCACATCATTAATATTTTCACCTCTCTTCTTGTTTTCTCTCTTCTTTGCTCTATTTGTTTTTGTAGCTCTTTTTGCCTGGGTGATAAGCAGAATGTAGAACTTCTTACATCAAGGCACACTTTTGCTGACTGGACCCTGCGAGGGCTTCTTCCCCGTTCTATATTCCTCGTAATATTGATGGCAGAGCTTGGTCGAATAGGTGGTGGTTGAGGGAAAAAAAAATATCGTTCTTTGGAAGGAGAACAAGATGTTATAGGTGTTTGCAGGAAGGACTCGTCTTTTGCACCAAAAGCACTAGCATATGAACTTTTAGAAGAAACATGTTGAGTTTCAATGTCACTGAAAGAAATACTCAGAGGAGGAAATAAGCCTTGACTTTCAATGTCGCGGATACTCAAGAGTTCAAATTTCCCATCTCTTTCTACTAGGATTTTGCCATCCTTGTGCTCATCATCTATGCCACCATTAATGGACAGAGCTATATCTTCCTGTCCTGTTTCATTAGAAATGCGCAACTGAGACAGCCTACCAGCAATGTTTTGTTCCCTGTAAGGATCATTTTTATCCACTTCTATATTTGTCAGAGATGGTACTTCTAGTTCTACTATATTATCATTGAATTTTAGTTTTCTTTCTTTTGTTTCATCTAAAGGCTCCTGACCCAACAGAAGTTTGTTAGCTTCTTCAATTTTTTCTAAGATATAACGCTTTATATCTTCTTCATCATCTTCCTCCTTGACTTCTAGCCTTGATTCTGGACCAGAGCTTTCGCTATCTGTATCAGATGCTGGTTCCAATGCCTTAGGATCGAGTTCAAATACAGAACGTATTTCATTTTGTGATGCATCATTTAGAGCTTCCTCAGGCTCAGGAGGTTCTTGTGAAGAATTTCGTTCCTCATCCTTCAGTATTTCTTCAGGCTCAAGAGAATCTTGTGAAGGATTTTTTCTATCTTCTAAGTCTTTGTCAGTGTTAGTTTCAAAATCCTCTTCATTGTCATCATGATTCTACGAAAAAAATATAGTATTTATATAAAATGCAGGAGGCAATGTACACAGTCATGGTTCATGTACTATTTAAAGCACAATTTGTTTGACCATGATTTATTGGATGACAATTGATTCTTAAACTATGCTAAGCTGGGAATACATAATTTTCTGATCTGAGGAGTGCTCTAAGGTTTTGCACAGTAGTATACGCATCAAATTCCTAAATTGATTTCATTTATATTTAATTGAAATCAAATATATTTAACATAAACTTTTCTAGTTATGCATTTAATAATTCCCTCTTTATCACATTAAACATTACATGATTTAGTAATTTTTGGTGGACTCACAAAAGCTTTGGAGGGACTTCACAAATCCTTGGGGCTTCAGATTGTGTACCACTGAACTAAATTGTAATAGTATACAAATTGCAGTGGTTAGATTCATAAAACACAGTGACCCAAAAGTAAGCAAACACCTTATTAATTAACATGATGGTGAATCAAGCCACAGAATAGCTGACTGCAATTTGGCATTTAATCATAAGCCATTTAAATTTCATCCTGCATTCAGCAACTCTTCTAATCAATCTATATTACATATCTTAGTTTGTTCTATGTATACTGGTATAAGATTATATTCTCTTAATACCTGTATATCATCAGAAATTTCTTTTTCTTCTTCATTAATTAGCCACTCAAGATCTTTCTCAAAATCATCCTCATAGTCACCACCTTCTGTGGTATCTCCCGTGTCTGTAGATTCACTGGTTTCTTTTTTGTCACTCATTGTGGATGTTTCTTAAAATAAAACTATAAAAGTGGAAAACATAAAATTACAAATAGCATATATACCAATTTATATTGTAACTCAATAAATAATGGCAATAAAATGTAATTCAGCAAAGTACCTGTCCTAATTATCTCAAAACACTAACATGTTATTCTACAAGTTTATGTTAAGGTAACAGAAAATTAAAAATGGACTAGGACTAGGATAGGACTAAGACTAGGACTAGACTAGGACTAGGACTAGGACTAGGACTAGGACTAGGACTAGGACTAGGACTAGGAGTAGACTAGACTAGACTAGACTAGACTAGACTAGACTAGACTAGACTAGACTAGACTAGACTAGAATAGAATAGAATAGAATAGAATAGAATAGAATAGAATAGAATAGAATAGAATAGAATAGAATAGAATAGAATCTATACATTCCCTCCAAAGGAGAATAGGCAGATATAGAAACAGATAAAAGTCTTGTGCAATACTCAATTTTCTCCCATGTCAACTTTGGAAACGAATTCCTACTGAAAGCAGTCAAACTCAGATTTGCTTCTAATAAATGTAAGTCACACATATATGTCTGTGTGGATAAAGATTTGCTGGAAGCCATATTTCAACTGACGAGGGAAGGAAAGAAACCCTGTTTAGATCCTACAAAAAGATTTACATTTATCAGGCAACAATGCTCCTGATCAATATTTCTATTCTAAACTTCAAGACATCAAGGGTTTGTGGTGGACATGTCAAAAAGTGAAAAAATATTGCACAAAAAAACATACATGGCTGGAAAAAAATGATAAAACAGCATATTGATTTGAAACTAGAGACATTTTTGTTGGGCATTTTACCAGACAAGTACAATAAAGGGAATGTATACTTGATTTTACATGTATTGACTGCAGCTAGAATAGTATTTGCACAAAAATGGAAAAGTAAAGAGATCCGAACAGATGAAAATGTGATTTAAAAAATATTAGAATGTGCAGAAATGGATAAGCTAATACTTATAATTAAGGAAAATAAAGAAACTGAATATTTTTTGACTTGAGACTTATTTTATCAATGGTTAGCTGACAAAAACAGGAGTTAGAAACAGGGAAATATATAGAAGGATCAGTGATATAAAGAAGGTATGTTAAATTGGTTAAACAAATATGGTGGCTATTATTATTATTATTATTATTATTATTATTATTATTATTATTATTATTATTATTATTGATACTAATGCAATGAATATTGTTGTAAACACTTTGATTATTATTTCCTAAAATGATTTGTACCCAGACAACACACTGTACAATTGAAATTGGAATTTTTGTATGTTATAAAATAAAATAAAAACTTATTTTTTAAAAAAAAGGGTATCTACACTTTCCAGCAGACTTGTGTACAATCATTTGACCCTTTTATAAATGAAGCTTTTGCTCATTCTTTTATTCCACACCCTACATTCCCAAGTAATTATTTGGAGAAAATATGGTAGACCTCCTTAGCCTGTGTTAAAGTTGCATATCTATTCAGAAGTTCAAAAGCAATTCCAAAGTAACTATAGGTAGTCCTCAATTTATGACTGCAATTGCACCCAAAATTTCTTTTGCTAAGCGAGACAGTTGTTAAATGAATTTTGCCCCATTTTACAAACTTTTTTGTCATAGTTGTTAAGTGAATCAAGTTCACTTAACTAAGTAACATGGTTGTTAAGTGAATCTGGCTTTCCCATTGACTTTGCTTGTCAGAATGTAGCAAAAGGTGATCAGATGACCTCAGGACACTAATCATAAATATGAGTCAGTTGTCAGGCATCTGAATTTTGATCATGTGAGCATGGGGATGCTACAATGGTCATAAGTGTGATAAACAGTCATAAGTCATTTTGTCAGGACTGTTGTAACTTCAAACTGTCGCTATAAATTGAGAACTACCTGTATATGCAGGATTGTAATTTTTAAAAAGTACAGGTTTATTTTTATTATACTTAGATTTCACAGAACTCTTTAAGATAGTATAATGAAATGAGATATCCATCATTCTGATCAATTGAAAGCAAAGAATAACAACATTGGAAGACGGAGCTGATAGATCCAATATATTATAATCCTGCTTTTCTGTTTCTCTAAATAAAATTTTAGAAAAGGCATTAAGCTCACATGGGCCATTTTAGAGTAGTTCTCATTTAGCAACCACAATTAGGCCCAGCAACTTGGTTGTTAAGTGAAACCACAACCATGCTTATGATCTTACTTCAGCTTTCCTTTGCTTTACAGACCTGCAAAGGTCACAAATCTAAGAATTGGTCATAAAGTTACTCTTTCATCACCGTCATAACTACCAACAGTTGCTAATCACTAAATAAGGACCCCCTGTACACAAATTAGATAGGCATCAAGTTAAGTTCTAGTCTTGTTGACTATATGGACAAATACTCAATTCTCCTTTAGTTATACTTTACAGCTCTTCCAAGAACATTCTAGTAATTTCTTCTTCTTCTCCTCACTACCCACTTTTTCTTCTACTTTTCTCTACACAAGTATTTTGATGAATACTAAAAATCAAAGAGTCTTCTGCTCCTTAAATACTAATAAATATTTTATCACATTAATTTCCACATGTAGTCCACTTAATCAAATGCTTTGAATATACTCTTTAGAAATGTGTATACATACTGTATATATACAGCACTTGTTAAGGAAAGGTGGGAGATATAACTAATCGCCGTCCTGAGTCTTCGGAGAGGGGGCGGCATATAAATTGAATTAATTAAATTAAATTAATTAAATTAAATTATCACTAATATGGATAACTTAATTAAAAAATGTTCTTGCATGTAGTAGCCGCATATAAAACTGACTTTTGGGTTATTATGATAGAACTGCAACCTGTCTTTTATTAAGGCAAAGGGTGCCACCGGTTAATTATTCTGTCAGGAAATTTTTCCTCAGTTCTAGGTTGAATCTCTCCTTGATAAGTTTCCATCCTTTTGACACTTTTTGCCCTGCCTTCAGATGCTTTGGAGAAGAGGTTGACCTTTTCCCACCAGTTTGATTTGCCAAGTTCATTGAGGCAGAAGATAATATAGCTTTCCTTACAGACCCGAACAAATTCCGGAATTTCCAGTCCCAGAACCCAAAACCGAGCCACACGCGAGTCGGGGATAACTTGTAGATTAAGGCAGATTGATGCTGCCTACTAGGCTCGCTAAGCGTCTGAAGGTGGGGAGGAAACGAAGCAGTAAGGCCAAGTCTTTAAACCCGTCGCCATGGCAATCGCCACCTCCCTTTTGGTCCTCGCCGAAATAAGGTCCGACTCGGACCCCCGAGACGAGGCTCAAGCTGGCCGAACTACGAGACAGCGACATACATACACACACAAACACAAAGACACACGCAAAGCGCCTATCTCGGACGCCTGCCTGCCTGCCTGCCTGCCTGCCCGCTCTTTAACACTAACCGCAGAATTGACGCCCTCCGAACGAAAAATTCTATTCAGACAAGTTAATTAAGTAACTAAACAAATCCCAATCTCTTTTCTGGTCAGGGAACGCAACGCCGACTTCAACCGAGTCAGTAACTTTTCAGCCTTCGTTTCCCAACGAAGCAAGTTTCGTCGGGTTTTCCTTCCCAGGTAAGAGCCTGCCGGGGGTGCCGCGCGTCGCCTGTCATAACCCCGGGTCTTTTCACTCTCTAAAGCGCCGGCTCTCTAAACCCTGCCGCACTTTCCCTCTCATCTCCACCTGTGGACGGCGCTGAGCAGCGACCCGCCCGCCAGGACGTCGTCATGGTAACTGCTGCACCCACCGGCGTCCTGCCATGTCTCCCGAGGTTTCCCCCACCACTCACCAAGCAGAGAAGGACGGCGGCTGTAAAGGATCAAACGGAGCTCTTTTGCCGCACACCAAGCTTCCCGTCTCCATAGAAACCGGGGGGGGCGGGGCTGGGCGACCTCACGATAGAACGGAGCCCTCGTGCCGCTAAGGAAAAAATAGTTGAAGTGACGCCTAAGCGGGAAATGTATTTGCGATGGTGGCGAAATGGCTGTGAAATGTGTTATTGGGCATACGTAGTTTAAATGTGCACTTATGCGGAGTAACGACTAACAGATTATTGGAGGGGGGGGGAAAGTGGTACAGATTAGGTTGTAACTTGAGAAAATGACATTTTATTTGGCCAGTCTAAAGAAAAGAATTAGAGGTGACATGATAGCAGTATTCCTATGAAGGGAAACAATAATAAGGATATAATAAATAATACTAGAATATGATATATTGGTATACTAGATTCTGTAACCATTAGAATCCTGTAATATATATTATGCCTTTATATTTGTATCTCCTGTAACAAACATATTCTGTTATTAGGTCTCTGTAATGTATCTGGTATTTGTCAAACATGTGTTCCTGCCATTTGATCTGAAGGCATATCAATTTTCTTCCTGTTTTTCTTGTGCCATCTAAGAGCATGGTACGTATCTCAGTTGGAACTGCAGACATCATCCGAGAGATAATTTACACTTCAGCCCTAACTTACACCTTTGATCTGTATAAGCTCGTTCCTTGCAGAACCAGGGGGGCCAAATGAGCAATTGGGAGAACAAAAGGAATGCTCAAGGAAGAAACAACGCTAATTGGGAGGCTTCTATTTGTTTGCAGGGCAACAAGGAATACACAAACCTAAACTAGGAGGCCAGAATTGGGTACTAAGCTGATGTCTCTGAGGGTATAAAAGGAGGACATACCTTCCCCAAGGTGTGGCTGTCTCCTCACATGCATTGTATCTGTATGTTCTGGATATAGTCCCACCCAGTATTTTGTTTTTGGCCATAAATAAAATCTGCTTTTTTTGCAAGCCTTGTCTTGAGTCTCTCTCTTTGGCATTCTGGTGACTCAAGTATATTTTGGGACCTTACACCTGTATTTGAGGGGCTGCCACAAAGAAGAGGGGATCAAGTTATTATCCAAAGCACCAGAGGGCAGGACAAGAAACAATGGCTGGAAACTAATCAGAGAGAGAAGCAACCTGGAATTAAGGAGAACCTTCCTAACAGTGAGGACAATTAACCAGTGGAACAGCTTCCTTCCAAGAATCGTGTGCACTCCGTCACTGGAGGTTTTTAAGAAGGGTCTAGACTCTAGACCAGTGGTTCTCAACCTGTGGGTTGGGACCCCTTTGGGGGTCAAACAACCCTTTCACAGGGGTCACCTAAGACCATCGGAAAACACATATTTTCAATGGTTTTAGGAATAATTTTATGGTTGGGGATCACCACATGAGGAACTGTATTAAAGGGTCGCGGCATTAGGAAGGTTGAGACCCACTGCTCTAGACAGTCACTTGTCTGAAATGGTTCTGCTTGAGCAGATGGCTGGACTAGAAGACCTCCAAGGTCCTTTCCAGCTCATTCATTCTATTTGTCTGAATCCTGAGTGCACGTTGCTCTAGAGTGTGCATGTTGGGCTGTACGTTGATATACACATATTTGATTGGTGGGTTACAGGCAATGGTACTGTATATAGGCTTGCAAGGTCTTGATAGAAATCCTGGTTGGCATATAATAGCATGAAGATGTTTGGTTCTACTTCTGCCATACTGGCCAAAATATTCCAAAACCGATTGATCGTTACTATCCTTAGATCTAGTGGGGATGGCAGCATTTGGTGGCTTTGTAGCTGAGACTGGTAACCTGGTCCAGCCTCCTGTCTTACTTTACTTACTTGTGTCAAAGCCTCAGTTGACCATGGCAGAGATATGTAAATAAAATTGTTCTAATCTTCTGGAGTGGAATTGATTAATATATGCTAGGAAGTAAACTGCTAAAATATGAGAAAGTATATATTAATGTAATCTGTTATAGTTGCATATGAAGCTGGTCAGTAGTACAGTAATGCATGATGATAAAGAATTGGGTACAAATTTTGGAAAACACTGCACAATTCTAAATGAGCATAAGAGGATGTGGATGATTTTTAAATGATATATATTAGAATTATTGTTGCAAAAATGATGAAAAACAAACTTTAAAATTATCAAATATATTTATTTGTTTAAAATAGTTTTACAGTTTGGTTAAAATATTTTTTCCTATCAAGATATTTTTATTTAGCTTTCCTGCTATTTTTCTTTTGAGAAGGAAACCTCTTTAAAACACTGTACCGTAATGTAATTATATTGATGCAAAAAACATATATCCTCAAAAATAATGGACTGTATTAGTATGGCATAATTCTGTGTGTGTGTGTGTGTGTGTGTGTGTGTGTGTGTGTGTGTGTGTGCGCGTTCACAGAGCAATTCTCAAACAAGGAAAGTGTCTTAATTCATCCATTAACAATACCCTTTACATAAATGAGGTTTTATAGTTACTGTATCAGCCTCCACAGTTATCAAGATAAGAAACATGAAGGGCTGAAGTACATATAATTTTAGTTATATTTTAAATAATAATTAAAATTATGTTGGTTATATGAATAGTTGAAGGGAAGACTGACCTTTATAAATCAAGATGCTCTCTGGATGCCAACAAAACTTACTACACCAAGATATCACTTAAAGTTTGTTGGATGCTTTCATAAGATTAACTTCTGTAGTAGAATTTGTCGCAAAAACCACAATGCAGTGTCATAACAATGAATATTATGGCTTTAACCAAAAATGGGTAATTAGTGTTTTTCTGAATTTTTCAACTGTTTGCCAGTTTTTATCCTCATACTTTGAGAACCATAATACTCCAAGTATTACAATAAAATCTGATAAGGCAAAAATAGCACTGGACGATAAAATATTACAAGCTTGGCAGAAAAAGTGATAAAGATTCCATTGAATTGAGCTCAATTTCTGATTCCATAGACAAGTCCACAAAATTTTTGGCAATAATGTAGAAATACAGTACCTTCCTGCTGCCTTTTGGGATATTTTCAGCTTCCCACCCCAGGTTACAGTTGGGGACTTTTCATTACCTCCTGTCCAGTACTGGACCAGCTTTTTCAAGATCAGTCAAGGTCAATTAGTTGCTGCCACCTGAAATGTCCCACTCTACACAGGTTTATAAATATGGACTTCACACATATTAAATTTTTTTGGTAGGAAAACTCTTAACTGAAAATTACTCACATGTGATACAACTACATATAAATACAGGTAATCTTTGCTTAATGATGTTAATTGGGACCAGAATTTCCCTTGCTAAACAAGGCAGTCATTAAGTGCAACATTATATGACCACATCACTTGGCAACAGTAACCCCAATGTTCCCTGTTGCTGTAATTAAGTGAGGATCGAGGATCATTAAGCAAAGATTTCCTCATGATTTCCTACCAGCTTCCAATAAGCAAAGTCCATAGGGAAGCCAGCAGGAAATTGCAAGTCCCAGGCAGCTCGCAAGCAAGCCAGTGGGGAGATAAGTGGATGCTGCATGAACGTGGTGGGACCAGGGGTGGCTGCAAGGCAGTGTGCAACAGTAGTGGGGCTCTGAGTGACTGCTATGAGATAGAGGAGCGTGCTCAGGCTCCTCCAGGAAAAAAAAGCTACAGGAGGGTGAGCAATTTATAGAAGCATCTTCCCTGCTCATTAATTTTGCTTGTGGGAAGGCGTCAAAGAAGGCTGCAAATGATGATCACATGAACGTGAGATGCTACAACTACTATAAGCGCAAGCCAGTTGCCAAGCAGCGAGACCATAATCACATGATCATGGGGTGCTGGGGTGGCCAGGACTTCAAGGATCTATCATAAACACCATTCGCTCAGGGCCATTGTGTTGCGGCTTGTCGGGCACTGGCCCCTCCAGCAGCCAAATCAGAGGAGGAGGCAGCATGGGAGTCAGGGTCAGCATCAAGGCAACTTGAGAGCTCCAAGGGGGAAGAGGGAATGGAGCTGGCAGAGAGAGAGAGAGGCGGAGACTGGGCTGTCCATCAGCCCTCAGATGGAGAGTCAACAGCCCCCAGGTCTGGAGGTGACTGATGAGGAAGAGGAGGAACAGCTGGGTCCAGTACCTGACGAGAGGATGAGCAAAAGGCAGAGAACAGGAGAGCAGTGGAAATCCGTGGGCCAATCCTTGGGAAGGAAGAGCCACCGCTGCTAGCGAAGCCCCACCCTAGCTCTGGGGATAAAAGGCAGATGGCGGAGATGAATAGATGTGGCAGACAACTATTCATCTTCCAACCGGACCGACTTATTAGCCTGCGTTGAGAGAGAAACTTTTTGCCAGGGCTGTTGGCGCGCCTAATAAAGGAATCTTTGCATTAACTTCAGAGGGTTTGTCTTGTTTGGAGAGCTGGGTCAGAACACATTGTAACTTCAAACAGTTGCTGAATAATTTCCTGTGGTAGCTATCCACCACCATCACCATTGAACAAGATGTAACTTTTCACATGTAACTTTTTCATCATATGGCCAGGGCTGGTATTTTTAGCAACTACTCCAGCACCCTGAAGCAAATCCTGTTGTTTATGGATTTATTCAATTTTATGACAATATAGACAATGTAACTGGGCAGGAAGGGAATAAAAAACAAGTAACTCAACTTTTTTTACCCCCCCACCCCCAAAAGCCAAAAAGTCCACATGAATTCTTCCTTCTCTAAATTTAAAGGATAAATAAAACTCCCTGTGTTCTTCTGCACTTTTTTTTACTTATTATGAAGTATCTATAGTCTAGGTAGGTAACCCCAGAATGTTTCAGAAATCACCCCAGAGGATTTTAATAAATCCAAATTATGGAGTTATTAGAAAACATCAAAACAATCAAAGTAATAATGTCCTATCTGGTATAGTTGTATGCATTTGTTCCACAATTCAAAAATACAATCATCATTGGCAGAAACAGCAATCAAGACAATTTCTATTACAGACAGATAATGTAGAATGATACAGCTGCCATTTCTTTTACTCAGACATTATGAAAGTATACTAACAACAGCATGAATACAGAAATGTAAGAGTTTCTTTGGAGAAGCTTAAAAGCATAATATGACCAATAGAAATTATCCAAATGACAACCTATATTTGAATCCCAGGTGATTTTCTGCTTCTGTTAATCATTGCCTTTTAATATCAATGAATTAGGATATACAGTTGACACTTCAGGAGTGGCAACAAAAGAGAACTAAAATCTCTAAATTTATCAAAATCACTCCACAGAGTGAAAAATGTATTTTGTCTGGTAAAATGTATTTACCAAACCTGAGCAGTATCCTGCTATGACCAAATTATTTCAAAGGATGCTGCTGATTGCAGTTCTATCACTGTGCCACACAGTTTTAGGCTTCTAAAAGTCAACGTATAAAGAACACTGAAAGCATAGCTAGGCTATGCTTTTTAAAAAACCATCACTTTCCATTTACAGTTTTATGGTCTGGCTAAAGAAAAAAAAACAGAAAAAAAAATTTCCCCATGTAGACTTTGTCTACAAAAGGCACGTTGATGCTATGTTGTTAAATACAGCATTCTTACTTATATAAGATGAATGTATTCTACTAACATATGCTACTAATATAGTACAACTAGAGTCAAATACAATAGATAGTGGTTTTAAAGTAACAATAGTTGCATAAATATGAGCCATCATATTTAAAAATAGGTTTGCCCCACTAGATATCAAATCAGTTCATACTTTGTATTTTAAGCATCATCTGCAACCGCATCATTTCTTCTCCTTTCCTTTCTCCAGAAATTCTTGATAATACTGTATGTGCCACTTATCAGGAACAATACTGCTATGACAGCAAAATAGCCAGCATAGATCCTGAACTACAAAAAACAAAAGAAGATTTAGTAAATGGAGGAGTTAATGTTCACTAACTTCTCTCATAGCAGTTACAATCATGAGACAGGTTAAAAATAACTTAATTGGCTGTGGATTTTTTAAACACAACTGGAGAAAGGCATTTTTTAGACCTCCTGTCTCAAGAATCATAATTAATTATTAGATTTATTATAGCTGCTCAATTCCCGAAGACTCTGGGTGGCTTACATCCCAAAAAAATGTAATAACAGAGCATAACAGTTGAGAAGAAAAAATATTAACACCACAAAAGAAGCTTTGCTAACCCCAAGTCTGGAAACACAGCCAGGTCAGAAGGGTTTCCAGTACCCTAAGGGAGGGGGAACCTTACATATGTCTTCAGGAATGCTATTCCAGAGAATAGGAGATGTGACAGAAAAGGCACACTTCCTCACTCCCACAAGATAGCAACATTTAATCTGGAGCGCAACCTTTGCAGGTGGACAGAAATTATTGGAGATAGTTAATCCTGTAGATAACCAGACCCTATGTTATGAAGAACTATGTAGGTGATGACCAGTACTTTGAATTGCGCCTGGAAGCTACATGGCAGCCCATGTAACAGCAATGACAACTGGGCATATATTAAAGCCTGTTACTGCTGATACCAATACATTTTAGACCAGCTATAGCTTCTGATGAACTTCAAGAACTGTCCATATGGAACTATGTGGGTCATGAGGTGATTAGGGCATACATGTCTATTCCTTCCCATGTAGACATCATGAACTACGTGGGTCACAATTTGTCACAATTCTGACCTGTATTAAGAATGTAAAAAAAAAAACACCCCTCTTAAAATAGAGGGGGCAATGTACTTTTTACCCTGCAAAAGCAACTTATAAGGCCTCTCACATTTTGAAGATACTCAAAGGTAGCCTTTCTAAATGGTGTTATGATGATATTAGAGAATATTTGATGTATGGAGCATATGAGAACTAAAGTCTAATTTCTTTGCAAGGTAACAAGTTATGAAAAGTTGTCCACTCTCTTCCCACCCAATCAAAATTAATGAATCTTACCTGTGTAATTATGTCAAGGCCAAGACCTTTTGCATCAACAACTATCAATGTGAGTACTGTCTGCAATGCCAGTGCAATAAAAGTATTAATACCAAATACAAGAGCATAGCGCTCTACACTTAGATTTGCAGCAATCTGGAACCTTCACAAAAAGAAAAGAAAAATGAACTTAAACAAACAACGTATTTCTTTATCACCTGCAGGTGATCATCAAAGTGAAACCATATTGGTTATATAAACTTTTTATTGTGAGTTCCATTCATTTCGCACACAGACCTTTCTGAATTTTAAATAAAACATATGAGGTAGGAGAGTGCTGTTTTTTTTCCATCTTTTGCCTTATCTTTGTAAAAAAAAAAAAAACTTTCTATCCAAGAATTCCGAAGGACATCAAACCCCAAATTGAGAAAAAGAAAAAAGGTAAGAGGGACTAAGGCAAAGTAACCTACAGGCAAAAGAGTTTTCAAACTCATATGTGTTTTCATTTTATTTTAAAGTAGGCATATCTACAAATACAGATTCTGTGAATAATGAGAATCAACTATAAAAAACTATATTTAATTTGTCTTTACAAATTTTCATAGACCAGGAGTGGGGAACTCCCTATCACCATTCCCAGAAGGCTCAGCTGATATAAGGTTTAGGATACCAATAACCCCCTTCCTCAAAGCACCATTCCTTGTACTGAAGCTGTACCCTATTTCCCCTTGGCAAAGACCTAGGAGGAATGAAAGAGGAAATAAGTTTTCTGCTTTATGGAAAAAAGAAAACACTCCCTATTTCTTCCTACACAGAGCATTTTTAAGATAAGTGGATCAAGTTTGAGAAGATAGGTTGCCCACAAATGGCATGGATTGTCCCTGTTCTGTTATATATAAACTTAATTCATTAATCCACAAACTAAAATAACATTTCCTTTCCTAATAGCAAAGGGAAATTCAAAGCCACTGAACTTCTCTCAGTAATTTAGTGTCTATGCAAGGGTCTCCAATCTTGGCAACTTTAAGACTTGTGGACTTCAACTCCCAGAATTGAACTCTGGGAGTTGAATTCCACAAGTCTTAAAAGTTGCCAAGGTTAGAGACCCCTGATCTAGGCAGAAGCTATAAAACAAATAATAACTACAGCAGAAATTCAATTTGGGGAAAACTGATGAGGTACAGGAATATTAAAAGCTACAAACTTAAAGGAGACAATGGCTTTCAAACCTATTTTAGCTATTTGGCTATTTTATAGTTTCATTGTGACAGAACTGAATCTTTCAAACAAACACAGTGAATCTACTCCAAAAGCTATATGACAACATTCCTCAACATTGGTACATTCCATATGTACTGGGATAGCTCTCTCATTAAATTATTTAGAATTTTGGGGATTTGCAATCTCATCATATATGTATGATATCTGAGCAATGGCAAGATTGAAAATGTATAAAATGATGAAATATGCAAGTGCATACTTACGTTGCAATAGTAATGAGCAGCATATAGACAATTCGAAATGCCATGTAGGAAGCATAGCACACCCAAATGTTATGAATAGTGTCCATAATATACACAGCTGCAGCAATGAAGAGGGAAAACATAGCTAAGACTATTTCACCCCAAGTAAGAAAAGACATTTTTATGTGTCCCACAGCAAATACAGCCACAGCACCTATAAATGGAAAATCCAAACAAGTTAGAATGCAAGAACAACTATGTCCAGTAGACTGTATATTCTGAATACTTTTTCAAGGGAATCTTCCAGGGATCAAAATCAGAAAATACAAGTCAGTAATAGCTTCGCTAAGTATTTGCTACTTAACTTTCACATCAGCAGAAAGAAGGAAATTAGGATTTCTTCTCCAGAAGGTTCTATAAATACTACCATCTCCATATAATACAGGGGTGTCAAATTCAAGGCCTGCGGGCTGGATCCAGCCCGCAGGGTGCTTAAATCTGGCCTGCATGGCCGGCCTGGAAATAGCAAAGTACTAGCCCACAGTGCCTCTGCCAGCCAAAATGGGGCACGGGGCCCACATGCTCTCAGCCCCCCGTGCCCCGTTTTCAGCCTGGAAAGCCTCCTGCAGCACTCTTGCCAGCTGGGTACTTAAATCTGCCTGGAAATAGTTTTGGCTGCCAGAGGCACCATGGGCCAGTCTTTTGCTATTTCCAGGCCGGCAGGGTGCTGCAGGAGGCATCCATCCCATCCCATTTCACCCACCTAGCCACCCCACGGAGAACTACAATGCTGCCCCAGCATTCGAAGAAATCCAGTTTGACACCCCTGATATAATAGTTCAAAACTATTATGACTAAATTGCTAATAAAAACAACATCACATGAATTCGCTTAACAGCAATGTAGTAGAGTGCTCTTAAACAAAATGCTCTTTATACAAATATTAGTAAATATTAGTTTTGACAATTCCAAAATGCAACAATATGCTTCACTGATCAGAAGAAGAAAGCCAAGTTAAGAAACAGCTTACCCAACAATGTGGAAACTGCTTCCACAGCACCATTATAGATCTCAGAGGTCTGAGAAGGCAGCACGGTTTCCCACATGCCTTGAATATAATTGATGACCTGGAAATAGCCACATGTTGACAGAGCCCACCATATAGACCAGCAAACCAGAGGCCAGGAAGAGTAACACTGTAAGATGTCCTGCCAGAGTTCCTTGATTACCTTTATAATGTTCACCTTTTGCTCCTATATGGATTAAAGAAATTAAAATTTCAACTAAAATATACCAGAATTATCTTTTATATCTATCATATTACAACAGGAATAGTACCGATCCAGATAAACTCTGAGAATATTATTATTCATATTATTATGAATTCAAAAGAATTCATAACAAATATCACAGAGTTCTCATTTCTCCTTAGGTATAGAGAAAGTGCTGGAACTTTGTAATAGTTCTATAATCTTAGTTGAGGACAATGATCATTCCTATGTGGCGAGTATGAATACATTTATTTATTTATTTATTTATTTAATTAATTTGTATACCGCCCTTCTCCCGGAAGGGACTCAGGGCGGTGAACAGCCAAAATTAAAATACATACAATACAAAAGTTAAGATAATTAAACAAGATTAAATCAATTGGCCTCCCAATTTAAAACCCCAAGTCTATAGAAGTAAAATCCCATTAAAAAAACATTTAGGCTAGGCCAGCTTGCTGGAATAAATAAGTCTTTAGGGCCTTACGGAAGGTCCGGAGATCCGGGATCAGTCATATTCCAGGAGGTAGCTCATTCCACAGGGCGGGTGCCCCCACAGAGAAGGCTCTCCCCCTGGGGGCCGCCAGCCGACATTGCTTGACCGACAGCACCCTGAGGAGGCCCTCTCTGTGAGAGCGTATTGGCCGGAGGGAGGTTATAGGTAGCAGCAGGCGGTCTCGTAGATACCCTGGCCCTAAGCCATGGAGCGCTTTAAAGGTGAGAACCAATACCTTAAAGCGCACCCGGAAGATCACCGGGAGCCAATGCAGCCCGCGCCACATCGCTCCCATAATCACCCGCGTGGCCGCATTCTGGACCAGTTGGGAGCCTCCGGGTGCTCCTCAAGGGGAGCACTTTTCATTTATGAATGTTTGTCCACAAAGCAAATCACTCTCTAACCATACTTCTGCTTATTGAAATATGTTCTTAACTCTTCTTTTGTGCTTATTTCTATTACTAGATAAAATACTAGAAAGTAACACTAAATACAGCTTTGTATTCTAATGAATGTGGAAATATTTGGTATTGCCAATTCTGGGGACAGTATTCTGCCAATCAATAATCATGCACAGAGTAAATTGTAAAAGGGGCAGACACATTGCTTCCTCACCCTATATGTCTTTCTATTGTACGGGACCTTTTAACTAAATTAAACTATGAGTACAGTTACATTTATTCAAACATTTGCTATTACACGGGAGGATATTTCAAGCAATTGTTCTGAAGTTGGTATTCAGTTCATGCATAAATATTTCAGCATCAGACAGGCTCCCAATTATTCCCAAGGCTTTCAGAAGTATACAGTACAACTAACTACCTTCATTTCATAAAAATCCAAGCAAGCTCAAACATTATTTTGCGTAGTTCTGTAAAAGCTGCCTTTCCTTTTACTACCTTAAAAACAAAGCAAGCAATGGTCAGGTTTTAATAAATCTGTTGAATAATTCCATAAAAAGTCTGAATAACATGTGATGGCTAAGCGATGCTTGATAATAATGGAAATGGTTCACAAAAAAACTATCACCAACTGTTGCAGAAATAATAGGTCATCTATTTTAGCATGGACTATTTAGCAAGTGCAAATAATTCTTTGCTTCAGATGTGGGCAAACATTTACAATATAGTTGGATAAGAAAATTAATGGCACTCTAAATATGATACATTTGAACAACAAAGTTTGGTAACCATATCACTGATCTCTCCCCTTAAATGACCTTGTTGCTAGGTGAATGGTACTTCTCAGTACCTTAATTACTTTCCATAAATGAAAAACAACCATGGGCTCTCTCAAAGGTTCACCATGACTACAATCAACATAAAAAATAAGTGTTCTTTTCACACTCAGTGTGTAGAGCAAAGAAGGGTACTAGAGCATTTTTCACAAAATCTTTCAGTACAGTGGTCTTCATTTAACAACCATTCAGTCCGTCATCAAGTGAATAAGTTGTATTTATGACCAGTCCTTGAAGCTCTGGCTATTGCAACAACCCTACAGTCATATGATCGTAATCCAGGACACTTGGCAACCTGCTCGTATTTCTGGCCACTGCAACATTCTGCAGTCATGTGATTGCAATTTTTGATCTTCCCTGCTAGCTTCTCACAAGCAGTCAATGGGGAAGCCAGAAAGAATTGGAATACAATCACATGAGGTCCTTGCTTAATGACCTGTGAGGTCCTCAAACTAAGGTTGCTTAGTGGCATGGTCACATGACATCATGCTTTATGCCTGTATTGTTCAGTGATAAAAATTATGATCCCAACTGCTATTCTAACCCAATGACTATATGTAATATAGAAAGAGCTCAAGAGCTCACTAAAAACAGCACAAACTTATTGTACATTCTGAATAAAGTCTCTGAACATACAGAGAGTAATGCCATCACTGTTAGTTGCTTGTACATAATTATAATATTAAAGCAACAAATGAATTTCAATGAATCTACGAAAAAAGCCAAAATTTTGTATCCACAATTTAATATAGATACTTGGGGATGATTCACACCCTGGCCAGTGTCTCTTTTCACTTTTACCATCAGGCAGAAGACATAGAAGTATAGCCAGCCGGACAAATAGGTTTAAAAACAGCTTCTACCCATCGGCTGTCTGACTCCTTAACACAATATAGCACCACAAACAGATTAATATGATGAATTTCACTGGTGCCAGTGTAGTGTGTAATATGTATATACTATGATATAAGATCATACACCAGAGTAATATACATGTTGCACAGAATATGATATACATATGGAAACGTATGACTAGGTTTTTTCCCTAACTACTTGTATAAGGATTATTTTTTATATTATTCATGTTGTCTTGTATTCTTGTATCAATTGCGCCAGTAGAGGCTAAACCTATTTCATTGTATGCATGATGTTCAATGACAATAAAGGCTTTGAACTTTGAATCAGGCAAGTGTTGAGGTTAGAATTAATCAATTTTTGTACATGGGTTTAAAAAACATATAGTGCATGGCTGTCCAACCTTTTGACTTGCCCAGGCCAAAAGATTAATATTATTATTTATCATTAATATTAAAAATATGTTCTTTATCTCAAAATAGAATAACAGTATAAATGAGTAAATGTCACAGTCCTTCATAAAATATTACAAAATCCTTACTTTGTAGATATGTACTGTAGGTTTCTTAGCAACAACGTATCAATGGTTTGCTACAACATTCCTCTAGTTAATTTCCCACCACCCAGCTTTTTTATCTCTTCTTCAATCCTGATAAGGAGCATCTGTCTATGGTTGCTCCATAATTATAGAATAACGAGTTACCAAAGGTAATTAGCAGCCAGTAGACCATAAATGACCAAATATTACATTTAAGTAACATGCTTTCATATTTGGTTTCAGAATATTATCAAAATATTAACAATATTTCTAGTATTCTACATTAAAACAGCAACCCTAAACTTCCTGTTAATGGGACTTATTGCCCATATATAAGGTACATCATATAGAAACACTAAGCAAGAAAAACTTGTCTTTTCTCAATTATACTTAAAATGGGTTTAGATATACAAGCCAAATAAACACAAAGCAAAGAAACCACAAACCAATTAGCATTGGATATAATGTATTTTGTTATTATACTTCTTACCACTAGAAATGTATGCATTTGGCAATATAAAAGCATATACATTATTTTCCAGTAATCATTTTATTTATTTTGCTTGTTTGTACTCCAACTTCATTATTTTTACAAATAACTCAAGGAGGTGAAGTTATCCTACACACCTTCCTCCTTCTCTTTTCCCCAGAGCAACAACCCTGTGAGGTGGTTTGGGCTGAGAGAGAATGAGTGGCCCAAAGTCACCCAGCTGGCTTTCATGGCTAAGGTGGGACTTGAACTCACAGTCTGCACTTTGTAGCCTAATCTTTATTATTTCATTTTCATAGCAGAAATGCTGGAGCATTGTGTGATTAAGAAATCTAAGAAATGTGTCACACTGCAGTGCAAGTAGTTTTCTTCACAAAAAAGCAGGATGGGGGTGGGGGGTGGGAGAGATTTGTTCTGAATCAGACAGGCAGGAAAGTGAAAAGCCTTTCTACCTCTGTTCTAACCATGCCAGCTAAGCTTATGTAAGTGGCAAGATGACCCTTTTCCCACCCCAACTAATCCTTAACGTTATGTTCAGATTTTCATTAAATGATGTCTAGCCTAGCCATAGCTCTCCTTAACTCTTCTTAGAAGAGTTGGCTAGAGTTGTGGCTAGGAGCCTGCCTTGCAAGGCAAATGGATTAGCTTCCCCCCCCCCCCCAAAAAATGTGTTTCCCTCAAATAATTAGATTTTTGTGCATATTGGCATATTTGGTTTGTCTATATTCTGGAATGTCCTTGTTTTGGCAAGCAATAGGATCTTACCAACACAACTCTGATTAAAATCTCATCACCAGAATTTTAAATGGTCAAACAGAAGCATCAAAGGGGAACAGGTTATTGATCAGCGCAAGTTCATCCAATTGAAAACAAGTGCTCAGTGGCAAACTATATTCTCCACATACCCAAGGCAAAAAGACTAGTACTTACTTGCTCCTCTGCAGGACACTCTTCTATATTTAATGGAATCTTCAATTCCACATCTTCCAACCCAGGAACCTTCTTTAAGGCAGGATCGTGTTGGATAATTGTTCCGTTTTTATAATTTAAAACTTTCATCTCCTTGCTGACCTGGAGGCTTGAGTGATGGTGGAAAAAAAAGCTTTTCTGTGGCATGGGCAGAGACCAAGCTATTGCAAAGGCAACAGATACAGAAGTAAGTGACACCACATTCAAACTGAACAGGGACCAGCCTGCAACAGACACTAGGACTTGTCCACAGACAGAGCCCACAGTATAGCCCACAAGGGCAGCACTTCGACAGTAGCTTGTGACTTTCTGGTACAAGTTCAAGTCCACAACACTATAAATATAAGAGTAGTAAGCAATTTCTGTTGCAGTCACTAATCCATAAAAGAATTCCAGGAACTGAACAGCTAGAATTCCTTGGGAGTAAAGAAGCATAAACCATGTTACTATAAGGCTTAGTCCTTGTAGAAGGATGACAGGCTTGTATCTGAGATAATCGGTTGCCAAGAAGACTGGGAACAGCAGCACTAAATAAGAGTACGTCCATACTGGATAAATTTCATTGAAGACCTACAAAAAAAGGGATATTATCTTTATAAAAAGGAAATTTCCCATTATATATATATATTGGTTTTGAATACTGTACAAATATATTTAAAACAGAATTACGTAGAAATGAACATATAATTTGCTAACAAACTTTTATTAAAATTTGAAATGAAAAAAAAAGTGACAAATCAAGAGTAGAAATGTTGGTTATAATATACAAATTGTACAATGGTAGAATAAGTGGATGAAAGGACTGAAATTCACACATTAATATCTTAAAGACAACTTTTATAAAATGATGTATCATTGGTATTTGTGACCAGAATATTATCTAAAGTGTAGGAAGGAATTTCAAATTTATGTTGCAAATGTGAACAAGGACACCTTTTACCATGTTTGATGGACATATAGAAAAACACAGACAGACAGACAAACAGAGATATATAAATATAGAGACATAGACATAGACATAGATATATAGATATACCGTGTTTCTCCAAAAAGAAGGCCGGGTCTTATTTTCTTTTGATGCCTGAAAAACCTGCTAGGCCTTCTTTTTGGAAGTTTTGAATTATTGACTCACCTCACGGCAGTGGTACCGACAGCCCTGCCCAGCAGAAGCCTGCTGCTGGCCCACATCTTCTGCGGCTGTTTGCTGCCACTCGCACACATCACCCCGGCCTCCGTTTCGCCTTTAGATGCCTTCCGGAAAGCCCTCTGCAGAAGAAGCGGCCGCAAAAGAAGGCAAGGCAGATGTCAGGGTGTGCGAGGCCTAGTAAGTAGGGCAGCTCCACCCCTTCCCATCCCCACCCTAGCTTATTTTTTAACTGTGTGCCTCGCCCCACCCCCTGCACCGTGGGGTGGGCGGGGTCTTAATTAGGGCTAATTTTGTGGGTGGGGATTCATTTGATCGCATATGCTCAAAAACGTGATAGGGCTTCTTTTCAAGGTGGGTCGCCTTTTTGGAAAAACATGGTGTATATGTGTGTGTGTGTGTGTGTGTGTGTGTGTGTGTACGTACATATGTATGTATGTATAATTAATTCAAAAAAATTAAACATTAATACATAATTGAAACCAGAAATGTTTCTTTTGACTTTGATTTATATTCCTTGCAGTCATCTGCTGGTAAGCCTTCTTTCTGAGAGTCCTTGAGACTCCTTGAAGGTTTATCTGTGCCCTCCATTCTTCCATCCTCCACCATTCAATCAGAGGGGAAGAAGCTTCTTGAACGAGAAGCGAAACGTCCTCAAGGAAAAACAAAATCCAGTTGCATTTCCGGGGGCGGGGGGGATCACTTTTGGGCCAATTAGAGAAGAGATCTCACCTGGGTCTCGGTGAGGTTCTTGTCCGGTCCCAACAAGTAAGGTGTGAGAAAAGGTTCCGACGGTCGCAAGTTGGCAAAGAAACCGTAGCCACACAGCACAGTCGTAGGAAACCCCCAAGCAAAACGCCGCGGGAGCCGCCTTGCGCGGCCAGGGAACAACCGGGACCGGAGTCCTTCCAAGATATCCGGCGTTTCCATCTGACGAGCCCCGCAACGGGGCGACTCTCAAGATCCCGCTTTCAGCGGCAGCTTCCGGACGGCAGCAGCCTCGTCGCTGGATGGCCAGAAATTCTACCGGCAACCCACGCGACCAAAGGCACCTTGGCCCCTGCGCGGCAAACAGTCCCGCCTCCTCGCTTTCGTTACCATCTGCGATTGGGTGGAAGGGGAAGAAGGAAGTCCAAATCAATGAGGGGGGAGGGTTACTAGTTGATTGTAGAGCAGCCAATTGGATTGCTTAATTCAGGCCACACCGCCGTTGGCTTTATTTTGATAGGTCGTCGTTTCTCTGTTTAGAATAGAATCGAATAGAATTTTTTATCGGCCAAGTGTGATTGGACACACAAGGAATTTGTCTTGGTGCGTAGGCTCTCAGTGTACATAAAGGAAAAGATAACGTTCATCAAGATAAAACAAGTATTACTCTGTGGTCTCATCCCCAAACTCCCCAAACTTTAACCTAAGACTGTCTACTGTTGACCTCACCCCGTTCCTGAGAGGTCTGTAAGGGGCGTGCATAAGAGCACCAGCGTGCCTACCGTCCCTGTCCTAATGTTCCCTTTAATTGTACTCATTTTATGTATTCAGTTCATGCTTATACTTATATATATTATCTAATACGTACTCGGCAAAATGAAATAAATAAATAATTTAAAAAGTATTGTTTTAACTGGAGCGTTTTGCGGGGAAAAACTGGAGTAGTTTCGCAGGTGGGGCTGTTATGACCCGTTGCTTTAAGAGGATTGCATTCAGGGCTGTGACATCAGTGGAACTAGTAGAAAAGAATGTTTCCTGGATAGGGAATATCTCCCTTCTGGGGCGGGATGGGTGGCTATTACCAGTTGGACAAGCAAACCAGAATCTAAATACGTTCTCAACCTCTGTTTTAGGAGCGATTTATTGTGATTATTAATTTATAGCTGTCCTCAGTCTTGAGTTCTTTGCCATGCATTCTTCTCCTGTTCTCATAAGTCTTTTTCAGTGTGGTGTTGGGCAGATAGATGGAATCAACGGTTGAAAGGAAACGGTGGGAGCAGTTGAAGTATGCCAGTATGGACTCTATAGGCGGTAAGAAATGTGTGAGATCAAACGTTTAAGTCTTTATCTGGCTTTCCCGGGAGAAAGCAGGCAGTCTGGTAAGATTCTTGTGTGCCAGTGGAGTCGATAGTAAAGGAACTTCTGGACCTGCATCTCGGAGTCACTTGGATTATTTGTGCCTGACAGATAAGTACCAAGCGATCTTGCGCTAACTTTAATAAGCATATAAAAGTAGCAATAATAACAATCATCCTAGTCATGAGATCACTGGTAGGGATGAGAAGAGATAGGATAAATCAAAAGACCTGGTGCGGCAGAGATAAAATTTTATTAAGGATTTCAGAATAAGGGGCATGCATAAGTGCACTCACGTGCCTACCGTCCCTGTCCTAATGTCCCCTTTTATACATTTCATGTATTCATAATCATGTTTATACTTATATCTGTTATCTAATACATGCTTGACAAAATAAATAAATAAATAAAATCAATAGAATCTGGAATCTATCAGTACATGCATGTACTTTCTAGATAATGGGATGGCCTATAAGAAGCAATATATTGTCCTGCATCCTAGCTTGCATAGAATAATATAAGTGTGCTTAGGGTTCTTATAGTGGATCAATCAAGTATTACTAAAACTGACCAATGCTGTCCTTTTCACTAGCAGGGAAGGCTGCATGTGATGTTATAACGGAGATTGCTATCTTAATCTACTTTTGCCTCTAAAAATACTTGGTAAAAACAAAAATATGGGTAACTGAAATCAGTATTTGTAGGCCACTCTGTTGATGACCATAATGTATGGCTGACTTTAACTTGGAATATAAGAGGAATAAATTTTACAGACAAGGATTGAATGAATGAATAACTTCATAGATAGATAGATAGATAGATAGATAGATAGATAGATAGATAGATAGATAGATAGATAGATAGATAGACAGACAGACAGACAGACAGACAGACAGACAGACAGACAGACAGACAGATATGGTTTGTGTCTGAAACTAAAGGCAAAGGAAAAATTGTAATAGATCTGAATAGAAATTGCCTGATTTCAAGATATAGTTGATAAATACATGTATGGAAGCTAAGGTGTATGCTTAATTGTAAACAAAGCAGCAGCATAACAGTATGGTCAAATGGGTCAGTGATGAAATACTGCTTCATCACAACACACGCTTCACTCCCTTTTATGTTCATTATAACATCACTTTATTTATTAGATTTTTATCCTAATTTATCCTTTATTATTTTATAAGTAACTCAAGGAGGCAAACATACACAATTCTCCTATTTTCTCCATGACAACAACTCTGTGACGTATGTTGGGTTGAGAGAGAATGACAGGCCCAAAGTTATCCAGCTAGCTTTCATGCCTAAAATGGGTCTGGAACTTAGTCTCCTGGTTTCTAGGCCAGCACCTTAACCATTATACTAAACTGGCTCTAACTAACTTCTACTATCATGAAAGCAGCAGAAGCTTTCAGGTGTCCATGAATGAAAGGGCTAAAATATGTTAGAAGGTGAATGGAAATGACAATAAATGTAATGAAATTATTTGGAAAGAAACTAAAGGAATGCTGAAAGGAGTACTAAATATAACTCTATTGAATTGGAGGTGATAATGTGAAAGTTTGGAATTTAAGTTTATGCTATAACATTAAGTGCTCGAGAAAAAATGATGAAAAGGTAGTAAATATTGTGAGAACATTCAAAAATCATAAATTCTGCAGAAACTGGAGAAATGTTAAAATATGGAAATTTGCAAAAATAACCAGGGATATTTTAATAATCAGGGTTTGTTGAGGAATTATTGGGTATATATTGGGTTTGGATATGCTTATCCTTGATTCATTTGAATTGGTTCACTTTTGGTAGATGTTAGATAATTGAAATGAATCATTTTAATTGATTATATTAATCATTTTGATTCATTCTTCAGACCCAAGATTATTTCATTGTGACTGTTGAAAGGCACCATTGATATTAGCATTTATGCCTCTGATCTAATAGTTAATGTTGTCTGTCTTCATTAAAAGTTGCCTTTCAACTCCTGATGATTTACATAGCTACATCCATATTATTCCTAGCAACATTAACTGGATCATTAAATGCTATTGCCTTCTTCAATTTCCCAGTCCATTTTATTGGCATAGATCATCTTATTGGCAGTTGATCATCTATGTAATAACCAGGGCCAATCTGATTTAACTTTATAAACCAGCCAAATTGAACTAGAGGCTCTTATCTACTGAAATTTAATTAATGTAATATTGTCATTATAGGCCCTCAGAAAAAAGTGCAACAAAAAAAATTGAAATGAAATGTTTTCTATTTGAGAAGAGGAAAACACAAGAACATGGAACCAGCAAAAAAATAAGATTTTATCGTATTAGGATATACATTCATGATTAAAGTGGCAATAGAATTATTCATTGTAAAGTCACTTCAGTTATGTTATTTTGACTGATATTTTCAAAGCTATTTGAAAGCTGTAGTTGAAAATTCTTTGAGAAAGATAGCTTTTTTACCCTAATACAGTTTTATTATGCTTTTGTTTTTGTTTCCTTTTAAAAAGCAGAATTAGTAATAAGAAAACTTGAAACATTGAAGTTGCTTGATTTGATTAATCTTCTGTCCAAGCCTTAAAAAACATCACAACCAAACAGTTCTATCCGGAGTGCAATATATTGATTCCATGTTTTAGGGATGATACGAATGAACCTGGATAATATAGGTGGTTTGAAAAAGTGTTTGACATGTCCATCGCTGTTAATATTTCCTGTGAAAACCTAAATGTAAAACAAAAAAATAAATTAGCATCATATACAAATGAATGATCATTTCAAACATAAATCCTCAAAATTCCCACAGAATATCACCAGGAAAATTATTTTCTGTCTCAGATCACCTCAGTAATGTGTAATTTGTGGGCTTATTTTGATAAACCTATCAAGTTGTCTTATGATTTCAACTATTGTTCCATTATTTGAAATAAATCTTACTATTGACTAATGAGCTTTGTCAAGCTCATTCAAATTGTGAAGCATGTATTGTCCTGACTGATGGCACACTCCAAGTGCTTTTAATTGAGAAATCTCATATTGCTGGAATTCTAGGAAAAATTCAGCCTTAGGGAAAAATAGGGGACATGACTTTGGTGATTACAATCTTTCCAGGCCCTCTAGGGAAGGGAAAGGCTTTATTAGATTTCTGGGTTGATGTACATTGCCATTATTTTCTCCTTTGTTGGTAAAACAGTATGAAGTTTCCAAAAAAAACCCCATCTGTACCCTTTGCTTCCTCTGAATTAATAAAGGGACCTCTGATGCCCACCTAATTACAAATTTAACAATGTACTATGGCAAACTGTAGGAGCTGTAACAAAACCAAACGAGATAGTACAAAGTCACTAATTCCCAAAGGATAGATTAAAACCTATGAAAAGGGACATGAAGATTTTTCAGCCGTATATGTTCCAATATAATACCATACATATGCTAATAAAATAATAAACTTGGAAGACATAATTTAGGTAATCAAATCCATCAGTAAGATAAGTAATTGGTACCTTTTCCGTGGAAGTGCAAACGTTCAAATAAGGCTTCCATGTTGAATTGTCATCAGTATAATGGATAGAAAATGTTTTCACATACATTTCTGTAGACATTGATTTGGCTCCTTGAGTTATTATGCTTGTTATTTTTGTAAGATGTTGCAAATCAATTTGTAGCCACTGATTTTTGTTGTTTACCTAAAGGATTAATAAAGTTCACCTTATCATGCTACTCTTAGCAATTGAATCCTAATTATCTACAACCTGCAACTAATTGAGTCATACAGAAGTACACAGGAAATCTGAACTCATTAATATGTAAATTAAATGCTATTAAAAATCCAAGAGAACACATGAAGCCTATCTACCCTAAATTTAAACAACACAAACCCAAAGATGATCTCCAATCATATAAGATCTCCCTCTCTTTTACTTTTCTTTCTTATAAAATAGAACACATTTAGTGTGAACACAAATTTCCTTAAGAATGCTTCTTGTATTAATTCTTGCAATATAACTTTTTTCTAATCTGAACAATTGTCAATGGAACAAATAGTCTCCTGGACTATTTGTGGGTGCTCCATCTCGGGGGGGGGGGGTTCAAGAAAAGATTGAACAACTATTTGTCTGGGATAGAATAAGGACTTCTGCCCTAGACAGAGGGTTGGACTAGAAGACCTCCAAGGTCCCTTCCGGCCTTATGAATCTATGATTCCATGACTTCATGAATACAATAAGCAATCATTTAAAGACTCCTATATTATACAAGAATACCACTCAGAGACACAGTATTAACTGACATACAACTCTGAAATTGCTGCCATATAATTTGTGAAGTGGGCTTTACTAAGGAGAAATAAAAGTGTGGGAAGAAATATTAACTACTACGTAAGTAACAATTCAATATCATTCAAAATATACCAGTCATATCACCTGTGTTCTCTGCTCTCTCTTCTCTCTGATGGTTTGATGCCACCAATTATTAGATGGAAACTACCGTAAGCATTTAATTTAATAGAAACGTAAATTTTTTTTAAAAATGCAACTACAAAAATAATCAGGTAACTTAGTTTGTTTTGTTTTTACCTTTGGTTGCCAAGCATTTGTTCGCCCTTTCAGATTGAGTCGTGCAAGGAATGGTTCCCATGAACTCCACCAAGTCTTCTTATAAGAAGAGGCTGTAATCTCTGAATTCTTGATAGCCCCACTTTCCATTCCCAATGGCATAGAGCACCCTGTTGTAAGTACATATCCTTGTTAGGTTTTTCTAATGCTACCGTGTTTCCCCCCAAATAAGACCCTGTCTTATATTTATAATAAATAAGCGCTGGGCCTCATTTTCAGGGGAGGTCTTATTATTTGGGGGTGCGTGGAGCAAGACGGGGCTCCTCTTGCCATCTTACCTGATTTCCACCTTTGTATCCCTAACCCTAATCCGAGGAAATGGCAGGGACCAGCTGCGCATGCACTTAAATATTTTCGGGGAGGGCTTATTTTTAGGGAAGGCTTATTTTAGCGCATACGCTCAAAAGCCCAATTGGACTTACTATCCGGGGAGGTCTTATTTGGGGGGAAACAGGGTATCATATTCAGGAAAAGATACCAGCAGGCTTGGAATTATATTTCTACAGATGGTTTGGTCAAGTAATTTAATCTTCTTTCCCTTCCTAATATTCATCCCTTGTATAAAATCTCGTTTCTCTTGCACTTTCAATGTTTTTGATAACATTAAATTGAACTTTCATCTGTTTCTCCTCATTTGATGGTATGTGCCAAATGTCTGTTCATGTCTTACCTTCAACTTCACAACCCAGTAGTTCAATGCGGAAAGTAGGTCTGTTGTAGAACTTGGTTGGATACAGCCTAATATATCTGGCAATAACAGGAGGATCAATGTGGTTTTCTTTTACTTTGGTACCATCCGAATTGCCCTCAAAATGCTGAGGAAAAAAAAAGTCCAAATTCTATAAATTATGTCTCACTTTTTAAAATATAAATTATTTAAAAATATTTGCAACTGGAAAATTAAAGTGACTTTTGAGCCTATTCAGTCTTGAGCAATTATTGGTTTTCAGTGAGACTGCACATCAAAACAAACACTGAATTATTTCAGTGGGAACTGAGGATCACAAAGTTTCTTTCATATTGCAAGAGTATATATAATATTTTCAGATTCATCATCTTCATTGTATCATATAATCTGACTAATGTTTACCACAAATAATTTGGTGTTTAAAACAGCAGTGATACATCGTCTCTAAACAAAAGTACACAGGTATTCTTATCCACATTCAACATACCTCTAATGCAGGGGTGGATTCTAAATTTTTTTACTACAGGTTCTGTGGGTGTGGCTTATTTTGTGGGTGTGGCTTGGAGGTCATGTGACTGGGTGGGCATGGCTAGCTGGTCAGAGTCATTTCTGGAAGGTCCTCACACTTACGACCAGTCCTCACACTTACGACCCGACTCATTTGTTTGCTTTTAACACTGATCAGCTGTAGGATGGCCCTTCGAAGCCCCGCGGCAAGAGTTTAAACAGTTTTTTTCCCTCTAGTCATCAGCTGGGACTTAGGAGGCAGCAATAGCTTGGGGGTGGAACCAAATAAAAGGTAAGAATAACGTGAGTGGGTGGGGGGTGGGAGGGCGGGCGGGGGGAGAACCGGTTCGGTGACATCATATCGTCACCGCTACCGGCTCGGCCGAACCGGACCGAACCGGGAGGAACCCACCACTGCTCTAATGTCATCACAAGCATGTTTATACATTTGTCAATAAATATATTGGTATTAAACTACTTTAAATCACATGTGTTGTTCCCAGTATAATTCTCCTTTCAATAATTTCTTTTACTATTTACAAGTTAAAAGAAGGAAAAGAAGAAATTATCTGCCCATAATTTACATTCTTTCCTACCCACTAATTAAATATTTTCCAGTTTTTGCATCTCTTTTTCTCATTAAAAATTAACCTGGATTTAGAAACCTGCTTCCTTAAAAAGAAAACAAAATGAAAAAGGACAAGATAGTAAATAGAACATTTTTATCAGTTTTAAGAGATTTATAGAGAATATGTAATTTTCATACTATTCTCTTTCATATATTAACTTTTGAAAGAATAAAGCGCTTAACATTATTTCTACATATTTTCAAGCAGAAAAGAAGAATGAGGATTTCAGATAGAGGAAACATGCAAACCATTTGAGTTTTGGGATGTCTTCCTTTAAAAATAATCCACTTTCGCCCATCTTCGCTGTAGCTAACAAAATATTCCAGAGTATACAAATGTTTCAGTAGTTGCATGGCTCCTTGTGTCTGAATGCCTGTGATGACAACTTGTCTTTGTAGGTCTACCTATACATTAACAACAAAAATTATGAATCTATATTATCCCAGTTTCATTTCTTTGGGTAAAAAGCTATTCTGTACCATACTGGATGGAAATACAGGATTGGTTCAAGAACTCTGTCTCTGATAAATGACCAAAAGTTTATCACCTTCTCTATCAATTTACAAACACAAAATATACTGAAGGTTGAAATCTAGTTTACCTTTGATGGTAGAAGAACATCCTCTCTAATGTAAGCCAAGGCAAATAGTATGTTCTATACTAATCTATTTTGTAGCCTTCACCCTCTGTTGTCTAAGAGTACTATCATTCTCAACCTAAAAGCAGAGCCAACCCAAATGCTTTTGATTTGAAATATAGTGATGTGAAAACTGGATTCATGCATGACACTAAGCCATAGTGTGTCAAATTTTATATTCTTTTAATTATTAAACCTTTGCAAACTTGTTTATAATTAATTATATATAGAATGTGTGAAGCTAGAAAACTATAGCTTAACACAATGTAGGAACCACATATAAAATTGACC